CGCACGCTAACGTGTTCACTCTCCATGTGTACGCCACGTGATCTTGGCCAGTCAATATGTCACTTGGAGAACTTTCCTCAGACATCAGCTCGGCTAATTACATACTTGTACTTGCCTAATTATGCTGTGGGGGTTGAGCTTTGGCTCTTTGGCCCCGCATCTAAACTGTCTAATCAACTGGTGGATAGGTTCCAGAGTATATTAGGCTTCATTGTATCTACATTTGAAACTATACAGTATATGGAGTCTTTCAACCACATCACTTCCTAGTGCATTCCCTATCAATTCCCCTGAGAATTTTGTGTATGATATTCATGTCTTCCTTAACTTTCGGTGAAGCACCTGTTCCGGAAGTGTTCAAACGTCATCAGTCGAGTCGCATGTAAACAGATTTTCATTCATAAACAAGAGGTTTGGCGGCTGGATAAACGAGCTTGTTCTCATCTTGTATGTGAGAACGGGCTGCAACCCTTCCTGGTCAGGACCGGGAGGGGGAGGATTGTCCGAGCGGACAGCACGCTGGGCACGTGATCCTGTAGTCCCGGGTTCAATCCCGGGCGCCGGTGAGAAACGATGGACTGAGTTTCTTTCATCCTATGCCCCTGTTACCTAGCAGTAAATAGGTACCTGGGAGTTAGTCAGGCGTCACAGGCTGCTTCCTGGTGTGTGTGTGTGTGGTGTGGAGAAAAAATAGATGTAGAAACAGTTGATTGACAGTTGAGAGGCGGGCCGAAAGAGCAGAGCTCAACCCCGCAAGCACAACTAGGTGAATGCTGGAACCCGGCCCAAATCGCCTGAGACGCGTGGTACAATTAGGCCATCCATCTGTTTTCATTATACCGGGTTTGGTGTCTGGCGTGAACTGCTGTTGGGCTACAATCAAATCGTCCAGGAAATGTATATGTTTATCTCTCAGAATGTTCGGTAATACGTTTATTGCTTGTGATGTGTGTCTATGTATGTATTAACACGATGTACTGAACGGGGTGAGAATAGCTTGAGCTACCTCATCCCTTTGTGTGTGTTTTACCTCGATAAACTTATTTCAATTTCAATCAAATCGTACATAATTATTATAACAATTTTTTAAGTTTTATTCTCGAAAGAAAGCGAGCATGAGTGAGATAAAGAGAAATTAAGTTAATTACTGGTAGTGACGGCTCGGTAATCTCATTCAAAAATTGATTTATTGATCGTCGTGATCCTGTTGGTATAAACACTGACTTACAACGCATTTAAAGCAACTTCAAACTATTTAAGCATCCAAACTATATCACAGATTATATATATATGTATTACGATCTTCGTAAAAGCGCTCTTAACAAAATCGTGTTATGGAGTTGTGCTATGTAGCGATTCTGGCAGTCGTGTGCGTAAGTGTGGTCGCGTGACCTTCCCAACCTCCAGCTGATCTCAAGGTCACGACGCGACCCCGCTACACAGACTCTTCCCACCGCCCGGCCCTCGCTGCCTTCCCACCGCCGGGCCCTCGCTGCCTTCCCACCGCCGGGCCCTCGCTGCCTTCCCACCGCCGGGCCCTCGCTGCCTTCCCACCGCCGGGCCCTCGCTGCCTTCCCACCGCCGGGCCCTCGCTGCCTTCCCACCGCCGGGCCCTCGCTGCTGCCTTCCCACCGCCGGGCCCTCGCTGCCTTCCCACCGCCGGGCCCTCGCTGCCTTCCCACCGCCCGGCCCTCGCTGCCTTCCCACCGCCGGCCCTCGCTGCCTTCCCACCGCCCGGCCCTCGCTGCCTTCCCACCGCCCGGCCCTCGCTGCCTTCCCACCGCCCGGCCCTCGCTGCCTTCCCACCGCCCGGCCCTCGCTGCCTTCCCACCGCCCGGCCCTCGCTGCCTTCCCACCGCCCGGCCCTCGCTGCCTTCCCACCGCCCGGCCCTCGCTGCCTTCCCACCGCCCGGCCCTCGCTGCCTTCCCACCGCCCGGCCCTCGCTGCCTTCCCACCGCCCGGCCCTCGCTGCCTTCCCACCGCCCGGCCCTCGCTGCCTTCCCACCGCCCGGCCCTCGCTGCCTTCCCACCGCCCGGCCCTCGCTGCCTTCCCACCGCCCGGCCCTCGCTGCCTTCCCACCGCCCGGCCCTCGCTGCCTTCCCACCGCCCGGCCCTCGCTGCCTTCCCACCGCCCGGCCCTCGCTGCCTTCCCACCGCCCGGCCCTCGCTGCCTTCCCACCGCCCGGCCCTCGCTGCCTTCCCACCGCCCGGCCCTCGCTGCCTTCCCACCGCCCGGCCCTCGCTGCCTTCCCACCGCCCGGCCCTCGCTGCCTTCCCACCGCCCGGCCCTCGCTGCCTTCCCACCGCCCGGCCCTCGCTGCCTTCCCACCGCCCGGCCCTCGCTGCCTTCCCACCGCCCGGCCCTCGCTGCCTTCCCACCGCCCGGCCCTCGCTGCCTTCCCACCGCCCGGCCCTCGCTGCCTTCCCACCGCCCGGCCCTCGCTGCCTTCCCACCGCCCGGCCCTCGCTGCCTTCCCACCGCCCGGCCCTCGCTGCCTTCCCACCGCCCGGCCCTCGCTGCCTTCCCACCGCCCGGCCCTCGCTGCCTTCCCACCGCCCGGCCCTCGCTGCCTTCCCACCGCCCGGCCCTCGCTGCCTTCCCACCGCCCGGCCCTCGCTGCCTTCCCACCGCCCGGCCCTCGCTGCCTTCCCACCGCCCGGCCCTCGCTGCCCTCGCCCGCCCTCGCTGCCCACCGCCCGGCCCTCGCTGCCTTCCCACCGCCCGGCCCTCGCTGCCTTCCCACCGCCCGGCCCTCGCTGCCCTCCCACCGCCCGGCCCTCGCTGCCCTCCCACCGCCCGGCCCTCGCTGCCCTCCCACCGCCCGGCCCTCGCTGCCCTCCCACCGCCCGGCCCTCGCTGCCCTCCCACCGCCCGGCCCTCGCTGCCCTCCCACCGCCCGGCCCTCGCTGCCCTCCCACCGCCCGGCCCTCGCTGCCCTCCCACCGCCCGGCCCTCGCTGCCCTCCCACCGCCCGGCCCTCGCTGCCCTCCCACCGCCCGGCCCTCGCTGCCCTCCCACCGCCCGGCCCTCGCTGCCCTCCCACCGCCCGGCCCTGCCCTCCCACCGCCCGGCCCTCGCTGCCCTCCCACCGCCCGGCCCTCGCTGCCCTCCCACCGCCCGGCCCTCGCTGCCCTCCCACCGCCCGGCCCTCGCTGCCCTCCCACCGCCCGGCCCCGCCCGGCCCTCGCTGCCCTCCCACCGCCCGGCCCTCGCTGCCCTCCCACCGCCCGGCCCTCGCTGCCCTCCCACCGCCCGGCCCTCGCTGCCCTCCCACCGCCCGGCCCTCGCTGCCCTCCCACCGCCCGGCCCTCGCTGCCCTCCCACCGCCCGGCCCTCGCTGCCCTCCCACCGCCCGGCCCTCGCTGCCCTCCCACCGCCCGGCCCTCGCTGCCCTCCCACCGCCCGGCCCTCGCTGCCCTCCCACCGCCCGGCCCTCGCTGCCCTCCCACCGCCCGGCCCTCGCTGACACTGGTGCTTGGATACAAGCCCATGGGGGGTGAGGGGGGGGGGTGTGGGAGCACTGTGCTTGTTTGGATGCATCCAAGGCATAATGTACTACATATTTAAGTAGACAGGTAGGACGCTGTGATAGCAGTATTGTTCTCTAGGGTTGTTGATTAAGAAATAGAGGATCTTTAAAATACAGTACAATAAAAATGCATTCCATTAATGACCTCAGTAGGAAAGAGTGGCATTAGATCTGCCTGCACCTTTGCTCACCTTGGCCATATTGGATACTACTTGTAATATGCAGTTGTTGACTGTATTGCTGATAGACCCCACAATGGCATTGTACATGGTTTAATCTGAAACGAGCAAGAGTGCGTGACTAGAGGAAATAACTAATAATATATGGCAATGTTTATTTTTTCTTTATGTACATTCATGTAGCAAAATGAGTGTGGATCATTTTTTGGTGTATAATACAGTACTTGATAACTCAAGATAACTTGTTTATTTGGTCCAATATCAACCCTGTCTTAAAACTCTCCTTGATGGATGTAATTAGAACTCATGAACGTCACTAAAGAAATTACTCCTAACATTCCTAGTCTAAATCTGTACAAACATGCCAAGCAAATAAAGGGACCTAAAATGTAGAACTCTTTAATGAAATATATCTTGTCTTTATGAATACAATGTAAGAATTAAAGCTCCTGAAGAAGGCTTATTGGTCATAAAATTTTGCTTGGATATAAATCCTCCCAAACAAATTTTTATATACAGGTACTGTATATCTATAATCAACACTTGCAACAATCTAGCATTCACATGTCTATTATGTTACCAAGGTACTGTAATTTGTCCCATAAATCTACATTCCCAAACAAATTTTAGTTACTAAATTTTCAGAATAAATAATAAATAAATTTTATTTAAATATTATTTAATTTTAAATAAATTTTTTTATTAATTTTTAATTAATTTAAATTTTTTTTTTTTTATTTAAATGAACAAATAAAGAAATAATGAATAAATGAATAAAACTTGATTTAAGTAAAGAAACCTTGAATACAAATTAATTTTATTTTACTGGATGCAGAACGGATAAACCTTTAAAACAATATTAAAATAAATGTTTTGTTGCCAAGTTGAAAGGTCTACCGAGACAGGTTGTTGAAGCAGACATCGTATTCAGATTAACAAAGAATTTGTCTGGCAGCCAATTCTTTTCTGCCATCAAGGGTTCAAGTTCCCTGCTGACTGTTCCGGTACCCTGCTATCTGTTCGAGCAAGTTCCTACTGTACCATATGCCTTGAATTTTGGGTTTAAACATGTGCAATAATTATAACTTGCAGATTTTTATTTTAGATATTGTATACAGTATAGTATTTAATTTTAGAGAAATTAAATACATGTTCAAAACTTTGTATTTTTTATTTGTCGACCTTTAATATTATAGTACTGTACTAAGTACATAAAGGTCAACCCATTCCCATTAAAGAAATGCTAATCCTGTAAATGAATTTACAGTTTGAATTTTTTTATTTTTCAGTTGGTGGAATATATCAAGTAATAAGGAGCAAATGTTCTGCATCGGTAGAAGAGCTTGGAGAACAGTATATTCTGTTGGGGCCATATAAAGAAACAAGTGTGAGAACAGAAGTTGAGTTGGGAGAGTTTGCTGCGGACTCTCCACTCACAATTACTATTAACCATTTACGAACACTTGGTTGGAGGGTGAGTAGCGGTAATGTAAATTGCTGATGTATAATACTCTTTGTAGGCTATGTACAATATCCAGGTGGGTAAGTGTGTAGATGTGGAATATTTTGTCTCTTGCAAAATGATACATGCAATAATATACAGTATGATGCTTCTGGGTAGGTTAATTTTTTACTCCTCTTTTTGCATTTTCCCCATGGCCCGACCATCCCAATGTGCTGCTTAATGTGTTGACACAACCTACTTAGAGCGAGTTATATTTAGCTGTACAAGGAGACCTCATTGTAACTAATATTAATGTTCTTTGCAAATAAATTCTGGCCACACGAGTTGTAAATATTTTGTGGGCAATGTTATCAGTTGTATTCAATTCTTGTTTATTATCCATTCCTCTTGGGTATACCATACAGAATAGATTTTGAAACTTGGTTGTATGTACTGTACATGATTTATAATTCCACTCCTCATTTTCACTTCCTGTTAGCTTCATTTTGTCATTGACTTAGCACATGAAACACTCACTCCAAAACTTGAATTAAATTCAGCCTCTTTTTGTTTTTTTGTTTGTTCTCCTCGCATTCCACTTAACCATACCAGTCTGCCTTTGTTTCTTTAGGGTCTGTAGTGAAATACAGATGCAATGCTGATTTTTCCCCCTTTGTGGGAAGCTTGTGATGGATTCCCAGCCCACTCTTACATAAGGCATATTACACCTAGTTGTGGGCAATGGGGGTCATCACAGATTCATGCCTCGGATATACCGGATGTTAATATGCAGTTTGGCATTGCTTGCACAATATTCAGTCATTTACACGTTTTGTTTCGTTCTAATTGTAGGTGCACCCTGGCCGATGGCTTGTGGATGGAAGCCCGCAGATTATTCTTTTTGATATAGGATCAGCATCTGCCAAACTGAATGACTATAAGCAGGATTTTTATGAAAATACCAAAATTGGCATTCCACACCAAGATGTAGAATGCAATGATGCAGTACTTTTTGGCTTCATGGTTGCCAAATTTATTGAAGAGGTAAGTTTTTTAAAACTTTGTCAAGAATCTAGTACAGTACAATATAAATAAGTACAGTATACGAAAACGAGATTACTGGTAAATAAGATTAAATCGCCAAATTAAAATATTGATTATATGCATAATAAAATAGACTTGGTACATTTTAATAGTTTTTAGTAAAAAACATACTTGGTAGTTTGCCAGTATAGTGACATAGCTACAAAATAATGTTACTATTACTGTATTAGCATATTATGAAGCATAAACAAGTAAATGTGTGTGTTCCTTTTTACTGTACACTGGGTACCTGGCATAATATTGTTTATTTGCAAAGTTCCGTGCAGAGGTGATCAACCACAGTGATATCAAGCCGAAGATATGTGTCCATTTCCACGAATGGCTGGCTGGTGTGGGCTTGGTAATGTTGAGAATGAGGAATGTTGACGTGGCCACCGTGTTCACTACACATGCTACTTTGCTCGGCAGGTTCCTCTGTGCTGGAGCTGTTGATTTCTATAATAATTTGGATAAGGTGAATATTCTTGCCCCTATTTGTGTAACAAAATATTGAATATTATATCTCATAGGAATGATGAAATTTTAATTTTAATGGTTCTAGTGCAAACAAGTTAATGTGAGAATTGGGGGGCAGAAGGACGAGTCGGAAGCTCTTCACTAAACCACACCAACGCATTCTGTAAAGTCTCAAAAGAAAAGTACCACACATCCATGGAATGAACTAGCATCTAGTTCTAACTGTTGAACTAATTCAGAGATGAATCGGTTCAACAACTTCAGTAGGCAAAGGAAATGTATTGTTTTGTAGACTGTCTAAACGCACACTGACTTTGAGCTTGGAAAACATGTCGGAGGAATTTAAAGAAATGGTTCAGAATGGTTGCTTGATTATGTTGCATTGTGATGGAAGCTCATCTTGCCTCCATATGGTCATTAAGGCCCCTCAACTAGATCAGCTTACTCTTCCTCAATGATAGCCATGACTGCCACTGTACTACTGACAGGCATAATTTCTGGAGGCTATTTGAACTCTTGTATTAAATTAGACAGAGATTACTGGCCTTACCAAGGGATAAATTATAGGTGTAACTTATGAAATATATAGAGAAGAATCTTCAATGCCATCATGCCCCGAACAAAGCCCTAGGTCTGCATATGAAGTTCTTTTGTCTCCACTGTGTAGGGATACAATGGGTTATAAAATTTAATCATTGATTCTCTTCTAACTCTGCCAAATCCTGTTTAAATTATGTTTTTCGTGTATATATGTGTATGTATGCATATGTATATATGTATGTATTGATATGTGATCCATCAAATTTAATCATCAAATTTCCAACTGTCCATAGTTTGTGTGCTCTGCTTGGCTCGGGTAACTTTATTCAAAGATGCAAGACAAGGTCTTGCTAAGCTCACCCTTAAATTCTTTTAATAATCCTGCTAAGTCCTGAGGACTTAGATTATGAGAATAAGCCCTTGCCACTGTTGTTACCTTATCCTTGACCTTCAGGCAAATTTCATCGTATTTGTTTTAAGTTTTTTGGCCTTCTGCTGTTTGGAGGAGTGTTGTACAGATCTGCTATGATGATCTATTTGTTCCCCATTGTTGTCATTTCTTCTATTATGTAGCCCAATAAATTATCAATATTACAGTAGAACCTCCAGAATCTGGAACATGTCATAGTTCATGTGGAACATGTAGACTAGTTCTGGATTTGCAAGTAATCTGGATTCCTAAATAATTATAGTACAGTACACTTTTTAGTCTGCTTGCCACCAAAATTTTCCATAATTTTCTTACAGCAAATGATACAATAAAAGTTTCTGCATGCTGTATTTAGATATAAACATATATGACATGATTTTGAAGGTGGTAATGTTTATTAGAATATATAAATGTGCCAAGCAAATTTTTACCCAGAGGCAGCAAAATGCAGCGAGTCGCTGCTCCCAACTTTGAACAGCTTTCCATTTTGCAAAATCTTGCTAGATTTTAATGTTTTGGCTACATTGTGCTGTATAGAGATGAATATATTTTGAGGTTGCGCTGTTCAGTATAAACTATTTAAAACGCCCCAAATGCTGAGTTTTCAAGTTTTCTATTATACTTTATTCTGTGTATACATTATGTTGAAATTGAAATAAGTTTATTTAAGTATAAATAAACACAAAGGGATGAGGTATAATAATATTTATACTCAAGCCTGAGTTGCATGTGTACAGAGTCACTCCAAGCATTTCTCCTTTCGCATAAGTGAAATGGGTATTTTGACTCGCATACATGTAGTTCCATAGTTTTACTTCTCTCGTACAGTATACCTCTTTGCCACTTCTGCTTGTGCTTGAATATTTCTTAATTTGCTTCTTATTTGTGTCATGGTTAAAACACATTCAATGTCAACTTGTTTTTGATGTGGCGTGTTTGGCCTGTTCGTCCGCCACAACAATTGTAAGTGTTGGGCATTTCTTTAATTAAAACTAACCTTGTTACAATATTGCAGTTTGACATAGATCAGGAGGCTGGAATGCGAGGAATCTATCATCGATATTGCATGGAGAGATGCTCGGCCCATCTGGCGCACACCTTTACCACGGTGTCAGAGATCACCGGAGTAGAAGCTGAACACTTGCTGAAGCGCAAACCAGATATAATTACGCCTAATGGATTGAATGTCAAAAAATTTGCTGCTCTCCACGAATTCCAGAACCTTCATGCATTATCCAAAGAGAAGATTAATGACTTTATTAGAGGACATTTTTATGGGTAAGTAACAAGGTAGATTAGTATTAGACCTTGTGATTTAAGCTTTCACTATTCATTTTAACACTTTCATCTGGCGGTGACGCAGTCCGCGTCAATAAATAAATTGATGGATGTCCACTGGTGATGCATGTTGCTTCAAATTTTAAAATATTTTAAATTATATATTTTTATCCAATCATTATGGGACTAATTTTAAAATGCATGCCTTTAGATTGCAAACAATTTGATACCAAAATGAATGACGTAGCACAACAATTGAGGTCAGAACACTGGAAAGAGTACACATGTTTAGTGTGGGTGACTGCTCCCAGGAAAACACAAAGCCCACCTTGGGGTTGGTTGGGGTGCTTGTGCCAGGTGCGCGAAGGTGTTAAAGGCCATTAACCCCTTCGTGATCAATACAGAGGAACCTCGGGTGATGAGCAGCTCCATCTACAAGCATTTCAGGTAATGAGTGAGCCACTCGCAGTAAATTTCTCAATTGACAAGTTTCTGCTCGGTTAACGAGAACCATGTGGTGCTTCCTAGCGTTCCCGCTGCTTCTCACATATTCTCGGACACCTCCAACGTCTCTGATGTCTGACAGAAATTAGTTTTGCAAGACGAGCGTTTCACATGAGCTCAGTGCCAAAACGGATTATATTCGTTAACTGAGGCACTGCTGTATTTGTAAAACTCATTATCTACCATTGCTTTAGTTTTCAGCTTCATTTTCACTATTGCTCTATGTGTTAGTTTTGTTTCTTCTTTTGATATCTCTGTAAGACACCACTGTCTATCCTTGATGAAATTTTAATGTATCTCCGACAGTTGGCTACAGAATGTCATTATATAAGTTTCCAGAATAAGTGTACTAGCTTCTGTGCTGCAAATGGTAACCAAGAATGAAGATTAATGAATATTTTCTGTCTATAGGTTTATGGACTTTGATCTAGACAAGACTATATATTTCTTCATCGCTGGGCGCTACGAGTTTGGCAACAAGGGTGCTGACCTTTATATTGAAGCACTGGCCAGGTTAAACCATTATATGAAGGTGAGAGAGGACAAATGCTTTAACAAAAGTATCAACTTATTGTAATGTGTGTTCAGTTAATATGAAATAAATGTAGTTATTTTGAAAGGTTGACAAATCCATTTGATCAAGATGACTATATATTTATTAAATTCATTTATTATATTTAAAACGTTCTATATATGTATTATAGTCTATATATTTATTATATTATTAAAATGACAAATTTTATTTTAATAAAATTGTCTATAGTTGTAGAGTATATCTATTGTGCCGTGATCCCTCGTGGATGGTTAATGGGTTGGGTTTATGCCGTGGGCCTAGTGTGAAAACTGAGGTCATACAGCACTTTTAGAATGTTCCGTTGTTAAGGTGGCAGTGTCATGTAGTCTTCAGCAGACTTAATTCCTAACAATAATGGGGGGAAAGCTAGGTGATGTGTAGACAATAATGTGTTTGCTAGCCTTCTCAGTGCAATACAAATTGTTGCCATATTTGTCAAGTAATCACATCAAATTAACTTATCATTTACTGTATTTAAGGAGATTGCTAAGAGATTTAATTTGTTTGTTTTAAATATTTGATAGATCTGAGGTTTGAGAGCATCCATAGTTAGTGACCACAGTACCTGTGCAAAAAACAGTTGTGTGAGGCATAACTTATTTTTACTGGACCACAAATTGTTTAGACTAAATAATAATTTGCTCCAACAAGTTTTGTTCTATGTATCTAAAAAGTGTAATTACATATGTTAATCTTATTTATTTACACAGGCAAGTGGAACAGACAAGACTGTGATAGCATTTATAATTTTCCCAACAAAGACAAACAACTTTAATATAGAATCATTGAGAGGCCAAGCTATTACAAAGTCTCTGCGTGATGCAATCCATGACATTCAGTCGAAAGTTGGGAAACGTATGTACGACATTTGCCTAACGTAAGTGTTGAAGGGTGTGTATGCCATTATTCATGTGTGTACAGTAGGCTTAGTTACCATTTGTATGGTATATATACTACCATGGGTGAGATTGAAAGGACAAAACAGATTATAACACCCTCTCCTTGAAATGGTAACGCATGTTCATGCGCTTGTGTGTTGTATATTTACAGTGCTCTATTTTTATATACAGTATATTTATCTCAATAAATTTCATGTGCATTTTCTGCTAAAGAATAGTGCCACCTATTGGGAGCATCCTGATTGATGGTATGTGGTGGTCTGTAGTGAGTGATGCAATAGATATTTCTGCAGAATTACACAGGAACACACACCCGTGCATATAAATGATGACTTGTGTGCATATAAATAATAAATATGAAAAAACAAAAGAATTTTTTCTATTGTAGAACAGATTGGTATTAGTACATAATAAAGTGGCAACAAAATATGGTATATTTTGCTGCCACTTGATTTTTATGTTGTCATCATGTTGTCTGATAAACGTCTGCAGTTACATAGTACTAACCTTGAATTTCTCAATGCCTATAATTTGAGCCATTCTGTAAATAAACTGTAATGATGTTCGTTCTTTGAAGTCGAAAATGACCATGATTTCGGTATCGGGGCGAAAATCGGTGGCTGTGTCAGAAGATGGATAATGAGACCAGTCTGGGTCCAGAAGTCTAGCCTACACTTGGGACGTGTGTGCGCTGCTGTAGTAGCGGGTGTTATCTTGAGATCTTGGTCATCTTGAGATGATTTTGAGGCCTAGCATCCCCGTGGCCCAGTCCTCGATCAGGCCTCCTTTTTGTTACCCCCAGGAAGCAACCCATAGCAGCTGTCTAACTCCCAGGTACCTGTTTACTGATAGGTAACAGGGGCATCAGGGTGAAAGAAACTCGGCCCATTTGTTTCCGCCTCCACCGGGAATTTAAGCCGGAACCTCAGGATTACAAATCCGAAGCACTATCTACTCGACTGTCAGACCCCTTTAACTTTGCCGGGGCAGGTTGGTCTAGCTTTGCACACAGCGTATTTCCTCTGGGACTTTGCAGTCCATCTATTCTCTGCCGCATGGGTCCCTGTGATGACTTTGCTTAGCCAAATTGTGTGGTCCTGAGCAAGTGAATCCCAAGTGCTGTAGTTGATGTCCAGGTCTTTAAGGGTCACCTTGAATCAGTCCTTGATTCGTATTTTCTGCACCCCTCCCCCCAACTGAACACATTCCCCGACTTAATTCTCCATATAGCAGATGTTTTGGCAATCGAATGCCAGGCATTCTGACAAAATGGCATACCCATCCGGCCTGAGATTCTATAGGAGGGCGTAGACACTGGAAATTATGGCCCTTTCCAGGACCTCCATGTCTGGGAGTTTGTCCTGCCAACTGATCCGGAGGAGTCTGTGGAAACAGCTTTAGTGGAAGTGATTAAGCTGTTTGACGTGTGTGCTGAAGACAGTCCAGGTCGTGCTGGCATAGAGGAAGGTGGAGAATACCACTGCATGGTAGACCTTTAGTTTGGTGGTAAGGCTGAGGCACTTCTGCTCCCAGACACACTCGTAGAATCTTCCAAAGGCAGCACTGGCCTTGGTGATCCTGTTCTGGACTTGTCTATGTTCACCACTCTTTGAGAGTATGGTGCCAAGATAGGTGAAGTTGTTGCCTGCCTGTAGGTTCTTCCCGTGACCATAATGTGTAGTTTCTGGTAGGGTATAGTGGGTGCTGTGGTACAGGACTTCGGTCTTTTTGGTGCTGATGATGAAACCAAAGTTGTCGCATGCTTGTGAGAAGCAGTCTATTTCATGCTGCATCACATGCTGTCCTGGCATTGAGGGCAGTTATCAGCAAACAGGAAGTCTATTGTGACAGTTTCTTTGACCTTTGTAACACCCTACAGGTGCCCGAAGATGAAGAACCAGTCCTGTAGCTGATGGGTATTCCATCCTGCCAGTCATGGAAGATATCAGTAAGCATAGCTGAGAATACCGGTCTGAAGTGTGTTGGGGCGAGAACGCAGCCCAGCTTTACGCAGTTCGTCACGCAAATGGCTTCAGACTCATCTTGGTCATCCAGTACCTTTGGCATCATGGAACTGCCGGACAATCATAGTGAACTTGCTGGGGCAGTCAAACTTCTCCATTATCTTCCATAAGCCATCTCTACTGACCATATTGAAGGCCTTGGTCAGATCAACGAAGGTCATGAAGAGGTCACTATGTTGCTCTGGGCATTTTTCTAGGAGTTGACATGCGGCAAATATCGCATCGACAGTTTTATGTTCTGCACGGAAGTCGCATTGACTTTCTGGGAGAAGACCCTCCTCAAGATGGTGAACGTGACGATTGAGCAGGATAGGAGCCAGGATCTTCCAGGCGTTGGACAGGAGTGAAATACCCCGGTGATTATCGCAAGACTGGCAAAGACATCCAGTCTATCGCAAGACTTTCCCTAACAAGTGTTAGGAGAAGCAGATGTGGGATTTTGCTTAGGAAGCAGGGCTAGGGTTCAGACCTGTGAACCTATCCCAAGATAGTTGTTTATCTTGGGATAGGTTGAAATTGAAATTTTGCTCGGTGAAATTTGCCAATTGAGTGTGGAAAATTTAGGGTATGAAGAGTAATACTCTTAATATAGCTCCAATTCACATTTTTAACCATTTTTAACCAGCATTTTTGTAGATTAAGGAAACCTTGAGAAATGCATAGCAATGTGTTTTTTCTAGTAAAAAAAACTGCATCACACAAATGTCTTCTGAAAGCATCTCAGTTTGCAACAACTCCCTCATTCCAATGAATGTGTTCTTGTATAGTTCGCTGAATTGAGGTTGCACTGTACTGGTATTTTTAGGAAGCTTGTAATTCCATTAACTTTTGCAATTGGTCGATTTCTGACAAGTTTATGCTATTTTATTCTTTGGTAATTTTTTTAGATGTAATTATATTGAATACATTGGCTTAAGCATAATTACAGGGTATCCTTTGGCACTTGAAATACCTATATATAGTACACATTTTTCCCAAACAGAGGACGTCTTCCAGAAACCAATGAATTGCTCTTGAAGGAGGAAACTGTGCGATTAAAGCGCTGTATCTACGCAGCACAAAGAAAATCTCTTCCGCCAATCACCACGCACAATATTTGTGATGATCATAACGATCCTGTGCTTAATGCTCTTCGCAGGTGTCATCTCTTTAATGACTCCCCTGATAGAGTTAAGGTAAATGAGACATAATTGGCTGCAATATCTTTTATAGTATTTTATCTTATAATAAGAGATTTAACCCTTTCCTTTGTGATACAATAGTCAAATATGTGATATGCTCTAATACATCAAATACGCTCATAAGTATGAGCGTCTAGAAAAAGTGTAGTTTATTTTGTTATACAGTAGAATCTAGGTTTTGTGCAGGTTCAGGTAACATAACAGTATATGAAATTGTTTTGAATTCCAAAATTCTGTGTGTGTTAAGTTCACTTGTGTGCAAATTGGTCTGAGATGAGCACAACAGACATTATTTTGGTGTATGGCTACCAAATACAGTACTGTTCCATTCTGATGTGACTCCCCAAAATTGTTTTGGGCAATTTTTGGATTATGTGCGGTGTATTGTTGTTAGATTACTAATGTAGGTGAAGCACTAGTCATTTATAGAAGGGATGACCACTGCCCCAAGGGATCACGATCTTGGTGCCAAGATCAATGACAATCTAAAACCAAGACATGTCTGTGACCATGCAAAACAAGCCATAACAAATCCACAAGGGCCGTGACAAGGATTCGAACCTGCGTCCGGGAGCATCCCAGGCGCTGCCTTAATCGACTGAGCTACGACATGGTTAAAAGAGTTGAAACCGAAGTTCTACTGAATTTGCTGGATCCCGCAGTCTCTCTGAGACACAAACCAGGGTTTTACACAACTCCCCCATGCACTCGAGCTATGTCAATAGGCCGTTCTCCCTCTTCGCCCTTACATTATTACACACAGAAATCACAATAACGTGATGCATCAAATGAACAAATTTCGGCCCTTGTGGATTTGTTCATTTGATGCATCACGTTATTGTGATTTGTGTGTTAAACAAGCCATGTTAATGTTAGTAATACAAAATCTGATATTCCACTTTGCCTTACCTAGTATCATAATACAAGTGTTAGTAATGGTGTTAATGCAGTAATATGATGGTAATACCATAACCTTTCAGAAATGAGGCAGGTGTTGGGCTGGTGCATTTTAATTTAAATTAGTGAAATGTTATTAAATCTACTAATCCTTTTATTTACTCTGTTTACTATTTGCCTAATGTGTAAATGTCTGGTTAATTTTAGGAGTGGAAAGCAAGGTTTAAAGAAAATGACATCCAGATGATGGTGATACTAGTATAAATTAGCTTGCTTCTTTAAAATATTTAGGAAGGGTCAAGGTATTTTGAGAAGTTAGTGAAATGTCTGGCCACCTTTATTAAACTGAGCAGAGTAGATTGTGTAACGAACGGTCTCTTGGGAACGTTTTGAAAAGTGAAAGAACTGCATACAGCTATTGGGCCATAATTGCTGGCCACCGACAGGAAATCTTTTAAACAAATTGATCTCTTCAGTGTCTTATTTTATTTGGCCTTAAAATAAAGTTTTGTATAAGGCATGAATGATCTCCAGTACAGAAGGAATTTGCTTGAATGGATTGAGATTTTATGGAACTTGGGGTTGATCAGGATGGAGCTGATCTGGTCAGGAACGTCTGTATAGCAGCAGAAAATGAAAGTAAACAGGACTCCATATAGTCGAATGGTGTCGAACATTAAATTATCCTGTGAATTTTAAAATGACAACCAGCCTTCTTACCAAATTACTTGAAAGTAAATGCTATCAAAATGTGCATGAAATGGGTTGTATCATTGAATGACAGATACATAATGGTGTCCCAAAATACTGTAGTGAAAAGTAGTAGATAATGTAATTGTTGCAGAAAAAACCCGAGGTTTATAATGCAAGTTCTATTATACTCGCCTATTTGTGCTTGAGGGTTGAGCTCTGGCTCTTTGGTCCCGCCCGCCCGGTTTTTGTCCCGTATTGTGGACAGTCGGTTGAGTACAAAATTTATTTTTCTTAGTTTGATTAATTAGATGTACAATTTTTTTTTTTTTTTTTACTGTACCAAAATGAAACATAATGTATTCATCCCACTTACCAGGTCATCTTTCATCCTGAATTCCTTTCTGTAACAAATCCCCTATTTGGTATGGACTACGAAGAGTTTGTCCGAGGCTGTCACATGGGCGTCTTTCCTTCGTACTATGAGCCGTGGGGCTACACGCCAGCTGAATGTACCGTTATGGGCATTCCTTCGGTCACCACCAACTTATCCGGTAAGTTTTAGTATTGTAATATCTTGAACAAAGTTGAAAATACGGTATGTCAAAATTCTTTAGAAATTGTAATAAAATTTGCTTGTAGAAAATATCTTTATATTGCATATAGGTACAGTATCTGTAAAAGTACATTAGCTTAAATATTTAAATAATTAAACAGTTGTGGAGTGACAAATGAGAGAAGCAGGATAAGTACATTGTAGCGTCTCTCTTTTTTTTTTTTTTTTTAAATGAGCACCATAGGAATTATGATCTTGGTATGTCTGTATAATGACCCAAAATATAGATTATGCACACTAGCCGTCTCACTGCTGTAAGTGGCTACATCTGCTTCATGCCATTGACTGTAATAGATGAGTGTTGCCATATTTAAAAAAAAAAATGTTTTAATATTGATGATCATCCAGACATCTGGCCTTCAGACCAGGAATTTGGACTTGGTCTCTGCAGCTGTTTTGTGGCATCATAGAGGATACGGGAAAATGTTATCCAACGCATATCTTAACTTGTGTAAAAATCAGAAAATTAATGCAGAGATTATTATTATATGGTTATTATTATTTATTTTTTATTATAATTAAAAATAAATAATTTTTTGTTAATGGTTCTACTAGAAGCAAGTAATTTTCTTCATATAGAAATTACAACAATAAAGAAATTAATGAATGAGGATTTTTTTTAATACTCTAGAATAAAGCGTGGTGAATTATGTGAAGGGTTGAGGCTCTATCTACCTTTCTGACTTTCATGATTAATATTAACTCTTGAACGACACAAATTGTGTATACTGTTTGATTTTGGTCTGTGTCTACATGGCGCACATCATATACACTCTATACTATTTAAAGTTTCGCGGCTACACGGAGTTCACATTGGCTTCCTGTAAAAAAGTAAAATAGACTCCATTTAAAAAAATATCGTTGGCCCCATTCCTGAGTGTGAAGGTCTCGGTATTGTACTGAGTGAGCAACTGAAGCTGGCACATGCAGCATGAGCTAACAGCACAGCTGTTCAGCTTGTGACTACAGCATCGCCTAAAAAATCTAAATGTTTATGTAACTGCTATTATTTAGCAATGATAGTATTACAGAAGAGCCTGACTGTGATGGACTGTGTACAATGTTCAGTTATCAGTGAACACAATGCTGTTCAAGATGTTCACAACACTAGGCAGGTAGCCACAGCACACTGCCATTGTTGCCGCTATTATTGTTGGGACTCGCCATACCATCTTAGTGGTTCATTATGGTGAACAAAATTGTAGATACTTAAATATAATGTGTGTGTGTATATAGTGTAATAACAGCAGAAACAGTAGATTGGTGGGAGGAATCTTGGCGAGTGAGGTGGCGTCGTCAGTTGTCTGGTGTGTAACTTGTCTTAGAGTATATGGTGGCTGCATGCTGTTTGGACACACCACCAGCTTAGTGGTATAATTATGGTGAACAAAACATGTAGATACTTTACATATAACGTGTGTGTGTGTGTATATAGTATAATAACAGCAAAAATATTCTTTTATTGGTTTATGAACATAATTGAATCCTCATGATGATTTCGGGGCTCAACATCCCTTCGGCCCGTTCCACAACCAGGCCTTCTGGTCCCTGACCGGGAATCTCTAATATGCACACCATACTTTTGAGTATGGCGATGGTTCACACATTTTATTATATATCACTACACACTATTGAATAATATTACTGCCAAAAAAAATACACATTGAAATAACTAGGTAATAATATCTTTATGGCAACTCCCACCTGACGGCTCGACTGGAAGAGACCGGCCCCGGACGTGTAATTTTTCAACGCCTGTATTTTACCAAACTTCCTCGCCCTATCACACCCAAATTATGTTGCCTATAATTTTTTTTTTCAGTGATTGGGGAACACATTTTAACACTCTTGGAAGAAAAACAATTTTATACAGTATTTTTTTCTTGCGCACAGCGGTGTTGTCAGCTATTAATAGCTGCACCACCCATGGGTTAATGGAAACAGATCACCAGCCATCATCCCAGATCTGAGGATACTGAATAATTATTTGATATAAATTGATTGATTGATAGCTTGTATGAAATTTAATGATGTAATGAGCAATAATAATGATCTCTGTAATCATTGCTTAATTTTGACAGGGTTTGGTTGTTTCATGGCTGAGCACATTGCAGACCCCATGAGCTACGGTATTTACATCATAGATCGCCGCTACATTGGCCTAGAAGAGTCTGTAAGACAGTTGGCCCAAAACTTGTTTGAATTTGTGCAGTTGAATCGTCGACAGCGGATTATCCAGAGGAATCGTACTGAACGTTTGTCGGAGTTGCTCGACTGGAGGATACTCGGATCGGTAACTGCCATTTGTGTGTTTAGCAGTTGGTAAACAAAGATAATCGTATTGTAGGTTAGGAAATTGTTAAAAGAAAGCATTTTTGTATGAATAATTATTGTTGCTCAGTTTCCAAGGCTAAGAACTTAAAAGAAGATATATTTTACTTTATAAAAGTACTTTAAATGCCAGTCATAAGTACCTGAAGACATAAAGACAAAAATTATTACATTGGCCAAGAAACCTGACATATAAAGATTGACTGGTGCAAACATAAGTGATGATGACAGTTATTGTGTTCAGTTGATAATGTCTTTGTCAACATATGGTTTAAGAGAGAAGATTAAAGTACAGTTCTGTATAGGCCTATTAAAAGTTTGTAATATTTGAAAGATTTGAAAGACAGCTGCAGTCTTGGTGAAATGTTAGATGAGGCAAGATTAAAGTTGACTTGGTTTTTATCTTCATTTGGATTATCTTTAACCAAAACAAATTTTTGTTTAATTGTATTTCATGCTAATTAATGGTGGACAATTACTGTTATTCTGTTGTTTCTAAAAGCAAGGTGCTACTAATCTCTGGTTAGCATCTTGTGCCTTCAGGACAGGAGACATAACTTGCTGACAGTTTGGGGTCTACTAGTGCCATGGAGATAAGGGTCCAACTCAAGATGCAGACAAAATTGCATTGACATACGTGGTAATTCAAAAGCCTTTTCAGGCACATTTTGGTATCACAGTACAGTAGCTGATTAACCACAAGACTGGACATAAAAATAGGGGTGAACCAAACAGAACATAAAAATAAAAAATAAATAAAATGTTTATTTAGGTAAGGTACATACATACAAGAAATTTTTACAAAGATTGGTTGACTTATAGGTAGAGCTAGTACATACAATGCCTAAAGCCACTATTACGCAAAGCGTTTCGGGCATGAAAATTGTATTTTTAAGAGGACAAGTGAAAGGAACAAGGGTGCAGTATAGTGTACAGGTTTTTATATTCAACAATTTTCTTTTAGTATTTTTAAAAATGATGTTGCCTAACATGAAAATAGATTTATCCATTTTTACAGCTGCTATTTTATGCTTGTTACATGTTGCATCTTGCACATGTTGTGAGGACAGGTGCTGCCACACTTGTGCACACATCTAGCTTTCCCTCTGCCTGTCTTAATTTTCCAAAATTGGGCTTTTATTGTACAAGCCACTTACGTTCTCTCACTTCGCTCAATTTCTTGAACACGCGTGCCTTTTTTATTATTTACAGAACCCAAGTATTTAAACAGATTGATCTCTTCTGGGATTTCTTCATGTACCCATATTTTAGAATTTTTCTTCTTGTCACCATATTATTTACTTAACAAACTTTTAGCCATCTTATTGTGCATACATCATTAATGCTTCCTACCAGTTAAGAGTCTTATAATTTTCTGTTAGAACAACATCTCCTTAATTGAAACACAAATTTAATATTTTTCAGTATTATCGTCAAGCCAGACAGCATGCCCTGCATGGTGTTTATCCTGAATTATCTGTGGAATCAGATGCATCGGGTGCTGGCCGACTTAACTACCCCCGCCCGCTCTCCGAGCCTCCATCGCCCTCATCTTCGAGAGCCACTACTCCTGCGCCCTCGGAACATGGCTCTGTGGAAGATGAGGAGGAAGACAGCGTTGACAGTGAAGCCGAGGTAAATGCAAGGGCAAGTCGCAAGGGAAAATGCTTTTCTGGTTTTATTGCTGATAATTCTTATTTTTCAAAAGGTTTAATTAAGATCCTCTCGTTAAAACAAAAATAAGGTTTTTATTAGTTTGTAAATAAAACCATACAGAAAAAACAGGTAAGTGAAAAGAAATGGCTGATAAATTTGTAAATATTGCAGATAATGTGAACAAGTGTGACTTAAGTTTGGAGACATTTATAGGCTTGTGAAGTAACGAGGGAAGCTGTAAACTAGATAATTAGGAATACAGTACAGGCTTTTATTTATTCATCCATAAATGGTATAACATTTCTTCTTAACTAACCTCATAGGTTATCAATTTCCCTCTTTGGTTTAAAACTCTCTTTAGATATTTTACCTGAACAATTAATGCTCTTAGGAGATTGTAATTCTTAACAATGAATGACAGAGCTGGAGGTTGAATGTTAGGATTAATGTAAATTTGTTGTGTGTGGTTTGGGACCACAGGAGGTTTGGGCTACCATCTAATGGAGGGTAGGCAAGTTGGAGCCGAGCTTGTTCATCCATTATCATCATTTACATTGGTTTCCTTGTTTTCTTTCAAGCGGGAGTTAATTTTTTCGTCTATACTTTTTGGCCAGTTTCTCCTAGACTTTTGGGTTGATCATGATCCCTATTCTGGCCTCAAACCAAATTCTGGTCCTGGTTCCTGGTATGCCTGCAGGAGTCTCAGGGCCTGGTACAACCTGAAGGCTTAGTAGTATTCACTATCCATAAGGTTTTATATCAAATGTAAATAATTGACATTATTTATGGTGAACAGGGGAGAATAAACTTAAGCATGTAATATTCTGAAATAGGCAAATAATTGCTCAGGTGGCAACACACACCTGATATCCATGACATAGCAGCCTGATATATTTGTTAGTTGCAGCCAAGAGCTATAAAATTGTTTGTCCAAACATAATTTGTCACTGTTAATATCTCATTGTCAGATATGTTTGGGAGGCAAAAAACATCGGCTCTTCCCTACTATTGTTTACACTTGTAATAACGTTTGTGTATGATTATATATACTGTGCATATATAATCATGATTATAGGAAAAGATTAATTTGAAAGGTAGTCTTGAAAAGATCGCTTTGTAAGGTCCCTCACTGGAAGAGATTGTCAATCAGGAAGAGATTTAGCCATCATAGATGGCTACATAATGGTGTCTGTCACTAAGATAGTGGTAATTACTTACCCCTCCCAATCAGAGGTAAAAAAAGGGTCATTCATGACCTGTCAATAAAGATGTCTTCCCAGCTACACTTGGTGTCCTGCATAGGCAAATCAAATGAAGATGAAAAAATCAATTAAAATAAAAAGAAACAATGGAACTTGTGTCGAGCCTGGCCTTGGGCCGTACTCGTGGAGTAGAAGAACTCGCAGAACCCTCTCCAGGTATGATCCAGGAACAATAACTCCTGCAGTATAAAAATGGCAACTGATGCTACTTTCAAATATCTTGCAAATATGCATGTGACAATCTACAACATAAAATATTCTTGCCACAGTTGGTTCTTTGAAATGATACTCTCTCCTGGATGGAGAAGAAATACTGTATTTAGATTAAACTATTTTAAGGTCAAAAACATTAGTGCTAAAGCTAAGGCACAAATCTGTAAACCGGCTGCAATTTAAAGGGACGTAAAACCACGAACTCGGCTATCCTGCTTTGGCAGGAATGTTATCTGGGATGAGCAGAAATTTTACTCATCCAGCACAATGCTGATGTAGCTGTATCAATGCTGATACAGCTACAGTACTGTATTCATACATCTAGTCCAAATATCAATGACTGCCAACATTGGGAATTTCAGTTAGCCACATATTACAGTGCCTTGATATAGTAAGCATGTTCTTGTACAACATCCTCACTGAGCTACTTACAGGACTTGCTACAATTTTTTTTTTTTTTTTTTTAATCCCGTTAGAAATATTTTAAATATTCCCATGGAAATACTGAATATTGATCATAGTCTTTCTAGTACTTTTCTAAGTTGTCCTTGCCAATAAGAGTTGAAACATCTCCACTTTATCTTCTTGAGGTTATCTTGAGATGATTTCGGGGCTTTAGTGTCCCCGCGGCCCGGTCCTCGACCAGGCCTCCCCCCCCAGGAAGCAGCCCGTGACAGCTGACTAACACCCAGGTACCTATTTTACTGCTAGGTAACAGGGGCATAGGGTGAAAGAAACTCTGCCCATTGTTTCTCGCCGGCGCCTGGGATCGAACCCAGGACCACAGGATCACAAGTCCAGCGTGCTGTCCGCTCGGCCGACCGGCTCCCCACAGTACAGTGTATTGTATCAAAATCCTGATGGATGGAAGACATTTTGCTTTATTCTAATCTAGTCTTACATTAAAGTATACTTAGTCCTCCCATCTGGGAGAATATTATGTTCATTAGCTATAGTATCATATTAAGAACTTCACTTATAATTTACACCCTCACCACTTAGCCCTTGGGTACATAGCCACAGATTCTAATTTACACCCCACACAATAAATGGTATTCTCTAAACACCTATGGTGGTTTTGACCAGCCCTAATGTCCATCATACTGATAATTATATGGGCGATTATTATTAGCTAAATTAATAGTCGAATACATAATGTTACATTTATTTGTCTGTCATATTTGCGAGCATTAGCATTTTCTTGTCATGGGTGCATTGCAGTATTCACTTTAACTGTAATGAATTAACCATGTATTATTTTGTGGTTTGAGTCTATGCATGCAGGTTGTCATTTCTGAATGGTGTCCTTTTGTAATGATAATGTTTTTCCTGTTACACCCACAAACTTGTTGTGCTTGAACATGTTGCTAGTCTAAGATAGGCTGGTGTGAAATATAGTGTACAGTAGAACCACTGTTTATAGAGTTTAACTCCTTTATCTTGCATATTCCTGTTAGTTCATTCTCCTATGGTCCCTAAATCTCTACAAATATTGGGGGTGGGGATGTTTACGTGTTGGTTGCAATTTATACTAATGTAATTATTGCTTTACTGTAATTTTATTGTTTTGAAATTCTGAAAACTAAAATATTCAAACAATTTTTTTTTTTTACAGATTTATGCACAGTATGTCTTGTATTTTCTTGGTTTTATAATGATTGCACTGCAACACATCCTGTATTATATTGAATGCTTCATCCTTTTCATAAGTTGTAAATGGTTAAAATTTACTTTTCAGTTGGAGGAACTGGGCGTAGGAGGCAGTGCAAATGGTAGTATCAGCAGTAGCAGGTAGAGGTGCCTTTGAGCTGACAAAGCAGAGGAGCATGTGGTCTCTAGTGCACAGTAATTTGTCACGCACAGGACATTCGTAAAAATGTGGTTTGATGGCATATGTACCAAGTCAAAGTAACTTAAAGTAAGCTTAATTTCAATATTAATTTAAATATTTGTCTTCCTTATTTTAAAAGATCTTTGGTTGTGTTAGTTGATAACTTGTGATGTTTGTGTTGAGCTTGTGGTGTAGTGTTGTGTATGTTGTGAGCCTCTGATGGGTGTATGTGTTGTGAACCTCTGATGGGTGTGGGTGTGTGTGTGAGCCTCTGATGTGTGTGTGTTTGTGTGTTGTGAGCCTCTGATGTGTGTGTGTGTGTGTGTGTGTGTGTGTGTGAGCCTCTGATGTGTGTGTGTGTTTGTGTGTTGTGAGCCTCTGATGTGTGTGTGTTTGTGTGTTGTGAGCCTCTGATGGGCGTTGAACATTTTCCATGATACAAATGAAGGTTTTGTACATTTATGCGAAGTTGATAAATTATAAAATGGAATTATATTTTTGTTTTAACACATCAGGCATCAAAGGTAATCAAAATACAGCAAGACAATTTTATGTGTTAATTTTATCCTTAATGTAAAAACACTGAATATATTTTATCTATCTGTATAACTTTGATGCTTTTTTTTTCTCTGGCAACTCCTTTAGAGAATGACTTAGTGCAAGAATATTTAAACCTATATTCAGTCTAGCATCATTTATGTCATGCAGGGTCTAAGGCTTTGTATTATGAGGTGCTCCTTATGGCCGGATTAAGCAGAACATTCTATCACTCCTACAGACTTGGAGATAATGCCCAACTTGTCTCGTATTTGTCAGAGCCCTGGTTACTGTTTGTTGCTAGTACGGCCGGACAAAAAATCGCAAGCACTCGCACTGTTTAGATGTAGCTGCAGAAAACTCTAGTCTTGTTATTTCAGCAGTTGAGGAGAAAAGTTGCTTTTGGTACTAGTAGGTTAAACTGATGCCTCCTGACTCATAAATTATGGCACTACTTAGAAGTTAACAATGCTACAATGGTACAGTACTATTCTTACTGTTAAACCATGTGGTTGGAATTGTTCTATGCCATTCATCCAAAGGGCTTAAGAGGCACACATTTAAAGTCAGAGGGCATGAATTTAGAGTAACAAGTTGTATGTACAACAAAACTATAGGAGCTTTGCAACAAATTTTGCAGTGGCATGTATTTATATGTGAAAGTGAACACAACCAAACTCAGAAATTTTTGCATTTGTTACTGTTGAAAGTGATTTTAGACCTTAACAATTCTGAACTATTGTATAAGCAAAAAAAATTGGTACGAAATGATTTGGGGGTATAGTGTTTAATAGTGAAATGAGCCTTTCAGGTTTTTATTTGTTTCTCTTTGTATCGAGCATACTGCTTTACTCTTGTTCAAGACATTTATATATATGTATATATAATAATATGCATATATTATGTATAGTTGAATCCACTTATTTTGAATTCAAATTGTTAGTACAGTACCTTTTGGAAAAATAATTAAGTTTGACATAAGCATTAAATATATTTTATGGTGAACTACAGTCATTTTCAAATATATTACTAGTACAGCAGTGGCTTAGTTTGGATGAATTTAGTGTTCTGTAATTACTGTCTAATGCAAATTTTGTAAATATAAATATTTAATTTATAAAAGTCTTGTTCATGAATTATAGTATAAGTCGATGAGTAATTTTAAAATGCCGTGGGAAAAGTGGTCAAAAGGACTATATTGTACCATAGTGTTCACTTAAAACTTTGATTTCTGCTTACATAAAAACAATTGCATTGAATTATCAAACTGATTGTGGTAATATATTTTGAAAAAGTAAGTTTATTGCTAAACTGCTACAGTACTGCATTGTTAATATTTACCTAATTTTTTTCCTGAAGCTTGTGTTAAGCTTGACTCGGCTAATTTGTGCCATAAAATACTGTTGCCATAAACTGAAGGTGTGATCTACAGTATAAAACTGGTTATAGTTTGTACTCGATAGTGAATATCTTGGATGTACTAATTATTACTGAGGGTGTCGAGGACTATTTTAATGTCAACTTTTTTAATTACTCTGTAATGACATGTGGATTTCCATGAAGATAAATAATGGGGTTGAAATTTTTATTTTTGTTGTATAAACAGTTATTGTAAATGTAATTTAAGACAAGTGGGTAATGTTGGAAGACTGAAGCTAGTCCATTGAGGATGCTCTTCTCATGATCATTTATCAAAGTCCATCCTCTCAACTCTGCAGTTGGTCCTTATTTCTCTCTGCATTTCTAACTGGAAGGTCCATTACTGTTAATGATACCAGTGAATTTGTTATACTATTTTCTTAAATAATTGTTATAAAGTGCAATAGGAAAAATGATCTATTGTGAGTAAGCCTCTTAATGTGAATAAGTGTTAATACACTAGTAAATAAAATGTTTGTGCCAACTATACCTACCATCATCTGTGTACTTTTCTTCTCTAGTGTCCTCACTCTGTGCTGTGTAAATGTACATAAATCCTTATATAATGGTCAGTCAGTTTGGATCTACTCCCGTTAACAACAATGTAACAACTTGGGTCAATTTTAGAGGGCAGGAAACATACCTTAACTAAATTTTGTAATTGATCATTGTGGTTTTATTGTACGAGCTTACACAATTAAAATGAGAATTTGTTATAATGTTTCGTGCTGCAATTCCCCTTTTTTCATAAAATGTGTACTTGTTAACTGCACACTTGCTTACCATATTTTTGTGCCAGACTTTGAACACTATTGGTGCTTCACAAGACTGGTAATTTATTTCTGTATCAAAATAAACATTAAATTAAACAACCAATATGTAAAATAATCAGTACCAGTATTATCATCTGGCACTGATATCACTATGCTCAAAAGTAGCTCATTGAAAAAACAATACTTTTCTGTGTGAGGAGCCACGTTGGCTCCCTGAAGGTACCCCATTGATAAAGTGCCACACTACAGTACTTCGAGTCATCAGTTGAAGTTCTTGTATGCCTGTATCTTGTTCTTGTATCCTGCGAGTGAGAACTTGTCCCCATCAGAGGTGCAGGGAACAATGGCTCATGAACACTACATTTAAAGTTTATCATCTTGCCATCGACAAGGGAAGCACCCAGAAAGGTGGGTGAATCAAATCCTGTGAATTTGTTGTACTATTTTCTCAAATAATTGTTGTAAAGTGTAATAAGAAAATTATCTATTGTGAGTTATTGACAACTCTATGCTGCCTTGTTGAAAAATCCGACCGGCATCCTCAATATATCAAAAAGAACTCCCCCATACAGAAACAAGCAACCAAAACTTTGTCCAACTAACCCCAGCTCGTTAGCCCCCCCCCCCCCCACTCCGTTGGGGGGAAGGGGAAAGTAGGCCTGGGTGAGATGGGCTGCCACCAGCTAGTTCTTGACTGATGCATGCCTGATCATTGCATCGCTCTGGTCAGTTTTGTGTTTTGTCTTGTATCGGCTGCTACACGATGGTGTGCGTTGGCCAATATTGTAGAGTACTAAAGCTGCATGAACCTTGGGACACCTTCCCTAGCTGCTCCGTAAGTACTATCCCTGTGTGGCCAGGGTTTTCTTCCCTGGGGCATTCGGGAATCACTCCCTGATAGCAACCTCTCCTCGACTCTAGTCCATTACATCTATGGGGTCGACCCCCAGACATATTCATAAATTTTTACATGCTGTTCATTCAAAACAGGAGTTTTCTCAAATGTAAATAAATATATTAGCATATTGTGCTATTATATAAAGTACTTAGGCTAGGTATTTAGGTTCTGTTGGCGATTATTTGTAGTATGTGGGTGAAGCACTTACAGCGTTGTGATTTGAACAAAATTCGTCAGTGAAGCACTTGTTCCAGAAATGTTCGAACGAAATCAGTTGAGTCGTGTATAAACTGTCATTCATAAACGAGGTTTGGTGAGTGCATGGAATTACTTTTGGGTCTTTGAAGGACGGGCTGGTGCTAGAGGACTAACTTGCTTGTGGTCTTTGCCCTTTGGGTGCGTCGGCGGCTTTGGGGCTTCCATTAAAATATTGTGTTTTTACACACGTTTACACTCTGTACCTCATGCACTCACACTCACTCTTCCTTCAAGTGTGTGTGTGTTTCCTTAGCTTCCTTTAGGCTAAGGACACCAAGGTGGCAAAATAAATATTTGAAAGTTTTTTTTTTTTTTTTTTTTTTTTTTTTTTTTGCAAACAGTGGTAGACGGTTGGAACCAACTAAGTGAGGTGGAGGCCAAAACAGCCGGTAGTTTCAAGGCGTTATGCGACAGTACTGGGAAGACGGGACCCCACATGCGTATTTCCCATCATGTAACTACACTTAGATAATTTAGAGTTAGATTTACCATCATGTAAATTCCACTTGGATAATTACACACCCGAAGTCCCCCCCCCCCAGGTAGGGATCTCGATATAAGCGATGTTGGGGGGTTGGGGATGGCCGCTGCTTTAACGAGCCATATATGGCAAGTGTTACCACTGCGCCGGCAGCGACTTCCTAGCTCAGCAAAATGTAAACAATAGTTTACTTACATGATAAAATAAAATAAATATAAATATATTAGTTCTACAAGTTAATAAAGATGTATTAAAATTGCCCATTGAATTACTTGAACGCAATCAGCTATGAGGAACTAACCCCCTTTGGATCCTCAATGTGCATGGTGCAAAACGCTAGCTTAAAACGCTAGCAGTGTATGTTATTGGGCAGACACAGCAGTAACAGAGGGAGTTACAGACGTGCATAGTGTAATACTGTAGGTGAGGCAGCTCAAGCCTCATGCTCTTACGTAATGGTGCACTTTAACCATGAGAGAATAGACTGGGTGAATCCAACATTACAAATGGAAGGAGAACAATTTCTTGAACTGGTACACGACTCATTTATTATGCAGCATGTGACAGCCCATCTGAGGTAACGGCATTTAACAGATCTTGTGCTACCAACAGAAGAGAACATGATGGATGGAATCATGGAGAAACTCACCTCCTTTGTGACCATAATATTCCAAGATGGCATATAATGTAATCTATATAAAAAAAAAGCTAGTCCAAGAGGGCCATAGAACTAACAGCACTATAGCAGATGACTGCTGAGTTCGTCGAAACTCAGCTAGTCCAAGAGGGCCATAGAACTAACAGCACTATAGCAGATGACTGCTGAGTTCGTCGAAACTCAGCTAGTCCAAGAGGGCCATAGAACTAACAGCACTATAGCAGATGACTGCTGAGTTCGTCGAAACTCAGCTAGTCCAAGAGGGCCATAGAACTAACAGCACTATAGCAGATGACTGCTGAGTTCGTCGAAACTTGAGGTAGTGAACAATTTGGAGGATGTTGATCCAGACCACGTCTTCAAAAGGTCAGAAGTAGCACAAGAGCAACAGTTTCAAGCTCAACAAGCCACAGTATAGGAGAGCAAAGATGTTTTTTCACCCATATGATCATAAACATATGGAACCGCATATAAATTGTCTTTGGTGGAAATACACATTCCTATAAGACTACTCAATAGATCGGTCGATAGAGCTTCGGCCTCGCATGAAGGAATATGGAACCGCCTACCCGCTGAATGCCACCGTTCATTACTTCGATTGAAAATCCAATTGAACTAAAAACAAAAAAACAAACAAAAACGGGGGACCTTTGACACCGGCTTCTTCTTCCAGTCGAGGCCACTATATAGACGGTGGCCTCCAAGTAAATTCATATTACTGTAGCGAGTATATTATTGGGATAATCTACTCGCTACAGAGTAGCATGGTATGTAATAATAATAATAATAATTTTTATTTAGGTAAGGTACATACATAAAGAGATTTTACAAAGTTTGTTGGCTTTATAGATAGAGCTAGTGCATACAATGCCTAAAGCCACTATTACGCAAAGCGTTTCGGGCAGGAAGAGTACTGGCATTTGTTTAGTGCCACCGGCCATTTGTGGCATTTGTTTAGAAGCCACCGGCTTCTTATTCCAGTCGAGGCCACTATATAGACGGTGGCCTCCAAGTAAATTCATATTACGTAGCATGGTATGTAAGGAAGAGTACTGGCATTTGTTTAGTGCCTCCAGCTGTCTTTACCTCCTTTTTATATGGAACATATACATTGGCATATACATTATATACATTGGCTGGCCTTTCGTAGTTTGGGTAGATGGCACATTATTCACTTTAGTTATATATACAACAGTTCTTACATTGTTGTATATTTATTAGCACGCGTAGCGTTTCGGACAGATCATCAATCCTATGTTTTCCGAAATATGACCCGCCAAATCGTTTAACAACCAGGTACCCATTTTACTGTTGGGTAATCAGAGGCTACTGTTAAGGATTGGCGCCCAAGATCCCCGGCCGGGATACAAACCCAGGCCAAAGCGCTCGTGAAACGCCAGGCGAGTGTCTTACCACTACACCACGGGGATCTCGTGCTCACTTTATGAGCACGAGGTCCCTCACTCCTTGAGTGAGGACCTCACTCGTGGTCCCGTTCACTCACTACTGCCATCTTCCTCAACTGTATGAATTCTTGCTTCCTCATACCCTTAATCACTAGACCTACTAGAATCACTGACAGTACTGCCACGGCTCTTAATCACATCTGGACCAACATAACCTCTCCGCTTACTTCAGGGATAATCATCGATAGCACTACAGACCATTACCCCACATTTCTCCTAACTAACATTAACAAACCACCTCTAGAGACAAGGGAGATAAGCTTTAGGCTGCACAATGAAACTGCCAAAGGCAATTTTATAGCTGCTGCTGCTGCTAATGTCAACTGGGAGTCCGAATTAGGTAACATAGGGGACATCAACCTAGCAGTGCAATCTTTTCTTCAAAAAACTCTCAGCCTTTATAACACCCACTCTCCTATGCTAACGAAACAAGTCACAACTAAAAGGCTAAACAATCCTTGGCTTACAAAGGGGATACTTAAATCCATTAATAAAAAACATGACCTTGAGAAGAAGTATAGGTTAGGAATCGTCTCCAAGAATTTTCAAAGAATTACTCATCATTGCTATCTAAAATAATTAGGAGAGCCAAAATTAAATACTACGAAGATAAATTTACCCACACAAAGGGCAACTTTAAGAAAACATGGAGCACAATTTCATAAATATTGGGATCAAAGAAAATTTTAAATAACAAACCAATACTCATGTCAAATAATGATGGTCTGCTTTCAGCCTCTGACACTGCTTTTGAGTTCAATAGGTTCTTCTCTTCCATTGGGTCATCCCTTGCAAATGATATTCCATTTTCCAGTACTAATATTCAGGACTATCTTACAGGAAACTATCCACAGTCTCTGTACCTTATGCCTACTAATTCCACTGATGTTACTGACATAATCCTTTCCCTAAAAACCAAGTCTAGTGCCCTTGAAAGGGTGAGTTTGTTGGCAGTTAGCCAATGATGGACTTTATTTAGCTCAGTATTTACTGTGGCATTTAGAGCAAGAGGGTCAGGACTGGAGTAAATGAAGGTTGTGTCGTCAGCAAATAGAATTGGTTTGAGGTGTTGGGAGGCATTTGGAAGGTCATTAATGTAGATGAGAAAGAGGAGAGGGCCAAGTATGCTGCCCTGAGGAACACCAATGTTGATGGGTAGGGTGGGAGAAATTGTATTATTCACAGAAACATATTGGAGCCTGTCAGTAAGGTAGGACTCGAGGTATTGTAGGGAGTGCCCTCTGACTCCATAATGATGTAATTTAAGAAGAAGGTTATGGTGGTTGACAGTATCAAAAGCTTTACGCAGGTCCACAAATAACCCAACAGGGAGCTCCTTTTTATCAAGGGCTGTATGAATCGAGTTAAGCATACTAATGAGTGCATCGTTAGTGCTTTTTTTGGGTCTGAAGCCATATTGGCAAGGGCTAAGTATATTGAGTTTGGCTAGATATGAGTAAAGCTGCTTGTATATAAGTTTTTCAAAAATTTTTGACAAGTTTGGCAGGATTGATATAGGTCTGTAGTTGTTAACATCTGTGGGATCACCACATTTGTGGACAGGCGTTACTCTCGCTTTTTTTAGAATATCTGGAAAGGTTTGGAGTTCAAGTGACTTGTTGAAGAGCAAAGCAATAGCAGGGGCTAAAGATCTGGAGGCTTTTTTGTAAATTAAAGTTGGTATCTCCTCAAGGGGCACCAGACTTGGTTTTAAGGGAAAGGATTATCTCATTGACGTCAGTGGAATTAATAGGCTTTAGGTACAGAGACTGTGGATAGTTACCTGTAAGATAGTCCTTAACGTCAGTACTTGAAGATGGAATATCATTTGCAAGGGATGAACCAATGGAAGAGAAGAACCTATTGAACTCAATAGCAGAATCAGAGGCTGAAAGCTGACCATCGTTATTAGACAGGAGAGTCGGTTTGTTATTTAAAGACTTCTTTGATCCCAATATTTGGGAAATTGTGCTCCAAGTTTGTTTAATATTGCTCTTTATTTGAGTAAATTTATCTTCGTAGTAATTAGTTTTGGCTCGTCTAATTATCTTAGTTAGCAATAATGAGTAATTCTTTGAGAATTCTTTGGAGACAATTCCTAACCTATACTTCTTCTCAAGGTCGTGTTTTTTGTTAATGGATTTCAGTATTCCCTTTGTAAGCCAAGGATTGTTAAGCCTTTTGCTTGTGACTTGTTTTGTAAGCCTTGGACAGTGGGTGTTATAAAGGCTAAGAGTTGTTTGTAGAAAAGATTGCACTGCTAGGTTGATGTCCCCTATGTTACCTAACTCGGACTCCCAGTTGACATTATCAGCAGCAGTTATAAAATTGTTTATAGCAGTTTCATTGTGCAGCCTAAAGCTTAACTCCCTTGTCTCTAGAGGTGGTTTGCTAATGTTAGTTAAGAGAAATGTGGGGTAGTGGTCTGTAGTGCTATCGGTGATTATACCTGAAGTAAGCGGAGAGGATATGTTGGTCCAGATGTGATCTAGAGTCGTGGCAGTGCTATCAGTGATTCTAGTAGGTCTAGTGATTAAGGGTATGAGGAGGCAGGAATTCATACAGTTGAGGAAGCTAACAGCAGTAGGGTGTTCTGGCTCGCAGAGGTCAATATTAAAGTCCCCTGCGATAATTAGGTTGTTTTTGTTCAGTCTGTTATCAAGTATTAGATTTCTAAGGTTTGAGTTGAATACAGACACATCAGTGTTGGGAATTCTATAGACTGCACCCACAGACAGGACAGACTCAGCACCCTTGACTCTGAAGCTGGCGAAGATATACTCCCCATAGCAGTCTCTAGTTCTAATTTCTTTTAAGCATGTTAGTTCTTGGTGGTAGTAAAGAGCAGTGCCACCACCTCTCTGAAGTTGACGACAGTTGTGAATTGCTGAGTAGTTAGGCATGTTAAAGAGTTGAGTAGTATCCTCTTTCAACGGAGATACCAACTCTTATTAACAAAAAAGTCTCCAGATTTTTAGCTCCTGCCATTGCATTGCTTTTCAACAAGTCACTTGAACTCCAAACCTTTCCAAATATTCTAAAAAAAAAGCGAGAGTAACCCCTGTCCACAAATGTGGTGATCCCACTGATGTTAACAGCTTCAGATCTATATCAATTCTGCCAATTTGCTTTCTGTATTGGCTTAATACCATTGCTGCGAATTAGACCTAACCTAACCGATAAACCTATAACTAACTGACTGTGAATTATAAGTTTATCGAGGTCCACCCCAGGCTAGCTATTCCGTTTTCAGTTTACAAGTTATACCCATGGTACCCATTTATTGTTAGGTGAACACGAGTGGTGATGGGCTGGTGAGCGCCATCTGTTGGTGGTGCGGGCGTGCAGGGCGGGTGTTGTGGGCGTCGAGGCGTCGCAGGCCGGGAGTGTCCCGTCTGGGAGGACGTGGGAGGCGGGGTAGGGGGGGGGGGAGGTATGGTAAACAAGTGAGAGGTGAGGAGGAGGAGGTTGTGGTGGTGGAGAGTGTTCCTGGAGGACTACAGTGCTCCCGTGGCGGCTGAGAGGAGGCGCACGTCCGCCACAACTCATCCCACCTGACCCAGTTACCTGCAAGTACCGTCCTCTCACCTCTATACCTCTTCACTTCTTGTTTTGTAACGGTTAGGAAATACGTGAAATTGTTTTGGTTATGATTCTTGATTGTAAGTGGTTTTAGAGCTGGTATAATAATAATGTTCTGCGTCTAAATAATGTGCGCATAAGTGTTATCATTAATCAGGACAGTGTATAGCTGGAGTGTGTTCAAGTCATTTTTTCCGTAAACTAGGTTAACAAACATGACGCGTTTCGTATTTTTTTTAAATCAAGTCTAACCTGATGGGATCTGTACAACTTTCAACATTTTGAAAATATATTGAAGCATGTGTGTGTGTGTACTCGCCTAGTTGTATTCGCCTAGTTGTGCTTGCAGGGGTTGAGCTCTGCTCTTTCGGCCCGCCTCTCGACCGTCGATCAGCTGTTTCTACTACAATTTATTTTCTCGCACTACACACACACACACACACCCCAGGAAGCAGCCCGTGACAGCCGACTAACTCCCAGGTACCTATTTACTGCTAGGTAACAGGGGCATAGGGTGAAAGAAACTCTGCCCGTTGTTTCTCGCCGGCACCTGGGATCGAATCCGGGACCACAGGATCACGTGTCCAGCGTGCTGTCCACTCGCCCAGCAGACCCCTACAAGTGTGTGTGTGTGTGTGTACTACTGTATTTCAGCAACTTTTTAATGACCCATTTTGTCTCTACCTAATGACATCAAGCACATGTGTGAGCATTGAGGGAACCCTTTAACTAACCTGAATGTTAAAGTTTTAACACAGCTTGTGGAACCCTCGAGTTAGTGTACGATGATGTGCAAGTAACAAAAGTTTTGATATTTTATATCTTGGAAAAAAGAAAGATTCCACAACTTGTCAAATATGTTATGCTATTAAGAGATACACATTTTCAAACCCAGTAAGTAGTGTACATTTTTAACTACAGTAATTTATGAAGTACATTGTGCGTGAAGCATATGGACCGTCGTAGGTGTTGAAAATAATTACATGGTATACAAGCTACAAGATGTTACTAATGCATGGTAATATACAGTGTTCCCTTGTACATTAAATTTTCATCTTGACACTTGATGCACACAGAAATCCACAATTTGCGGAAGAAATCCACAATTTGCGGAAGAAATCCACAATTTGCGGAAGAAATCCACAATTTGCGGAAGAAATCCACAATTTGCGGAAGAAATCCACAATTTGCGGAAGAAATCCACAATTTGCGGAAGAAATCCACAATTTGCGGAAGAAATCCACAATTTGCGGAAGAAATCCACAATTTGCGGAAGAAATCCACAATTTGCGGAAGAAATCCACAATTTGCGGAAGAAATCCACAATTTGCGGAAGAAATCCACAATTTGCGGAAGAAATCCACAATTTGCGGAAGAAATCCACAATTTGCGGAAGAAATCCACAATTTGCGGAAGAAATCCACAATTTGCGGAAGAAATCCACAATTTGCGGAAGAAATCCACAATTTGCGGAAGAAATCCACAATTTGCGGAAGAAATCCACAATTTGCGGAAGAAATCCACAATTTGCGGAAGAAATCCACAATTTGCGGAAGAAATCCACAATTTGCGGAAGAAATCCACAATTTGCGGAAGAAATCCACAATTTGCGGAAGAAATCCACAATTTGCGGAAGAAATCCACAATTTGCGGACGAACCGTCATCACAGCCCTTCTGGCTTTATTCATCTTGACACTTGATGGTTCTTGGTGGGTGCTAATGGAGGTCAGCAGATATGCTGTGCTAGTGTTGACCCGTGTACATGTTGGACTTGCACATAAATGTTATAGCAACTGTGCACAGTGTGAAGGATGACAATTATAGGTGTAATTGGTATGTTGACCAAACTACACACTAGAAAGTGAAGTGACCGACGACGTTTCGGTCTGTCCCGGACTGTTCTAAAGTAGATTGTGATCCACAATCGACTTGAGAATGGTCCAGGACGGACCGAAACGTCCTCATCCCTTCACTTTCTAGTATGTGGTTTGATCAACATATTTCAGCCACGTTATTGTGACTCCTCGTCTGCATATAATTGGTATGATGTACAAACATCTACTGAGAATGTAGATGTATATACTGTCATACATCTAGTCACTTGTATATTTTGGTTAATTAAGGTATTGATAAATAATTTAGACTTTTGTAGTGTCATTTATGTAGATTGTGTTATCTTGTTAAAACTGCCTGTGGTGTTTACCTTTATGCAATATTGGTTTAGAATTGTGTAATTTAATTTTAACATGCCTTGCATAAGTGGGTCAATTACTAATGACTCGTCCTAGGTTTTATGTTGCTAGCTGTTTATTATTGTGTGATCTTGTCCCATAGGCAGCAGTTATCGTCAATTATTGATTCGGAAGGTATTGAGGTTTATCCTATGAAGATTTAAAAAATTGTCTGGGTTTTACAGGTATGATGTAAATATGGATATACTGTAATAGGTCTGTGTGGATGTACAGTAATGGAGTTTACCTTGACCCATGAACAAAATCATGCTACCATTTCATGGTACAAATGCAGTTATCATGAATCTTACTAGAGGAATGCAGTCATCATATAATTAAAAAATTGTCTGGGTTTTAAAAGTATGATGCAAATGTGGATATAAAAGGTCTCTGTGGATGTAAGTAAAGTAAAACAATAGATAAAACAATTGGTGAAATATTAGATAATAAATCTGGAAGCGTCGGCAAGGTGGAGCACCAGGCATTAAGTGCTAGACACAGACTTTGTGCCTCCACCCAGTGAAACAATAAATATTTACTTTTGTTTTTCTTATACTGTATTCTGCATACAAATTGATAATTATGTAATGGAAAAATTATTTTAATTTATTGTGCCTATGCGGGTATGACCATTTCTCCATAGCCGCTGTCTTAATGGTTAAACATATCGAATGCCATTTATTATGCTAATGATGTTACTTTGCATTTCCTCCCAAATTGGCTATTTTCCGTGCCACTATCTGAATCTTGCACTTTGTCTAGTTTTCTTACACCCGATTTTGATTTAATCTCTTGCTACCCCTGGAATTTATCCACATTTAAGTGTTGATGTTTTTTTTTTTTTTTGCCAATTACAGAGGCAAAAGAATTTGATTAATATCTCCATTTCTTCGAACATTCTTTAGCCAGAGTTTTCTGTCATTATATAGGTATCTGTCATCAGACTTCCCTCGGAAACCTCGCATATGTGATTGCCAAGTTTCTGAAGTACAGTAGTTAGAAAATCTAGAAAGATTTTGTATAGTTAATAGTGGTAGTAATGGTGTCCTTATCCCCTTTCCCCACAATTTTGTACTCTTAATTTGGTTTTTGTAGTAAAATTATCTTAAATTCATAAATATATTTTAACTTAAAAATTATATAGGTGGCCCATTGGTTCATAGTGTATTGGAATATTGTGTAGTCTTAAGTGTGTGAGCACTTTATACCACTTAACATGACATTCACATGTACACTTTTAAGTGGGTAGAGGATAGATTAACGCAGATAATCTGCTCTAATCATTGTTCACTGCATTTTTGACAGTAAAATAGGTTTCCATTGGTGCTTCATTCTTGTTTTATGAACTGTTATACAGTATTTGCGAATTGTACATCCCAAGCATTCTGGATTTCATAGTGTTGAATTTTGGGCTGGAAAAGAGATGGAGTGGCAGGTTTGGACTTTAGGAAGTCTGTAACTTGACAATTCCCCTCACATCACTTTCTTTTCTCTCTATCTTTGTTAGTGTTTCATTGTACGAATAGAATACTGTAAGTACTGTAGTTCTTATTGTCTAACCAAATGCTGTGTTAACCTAGGAATTCTTTCCAATTCTAAGTACTGTATACCATTTGTGGTAATTTGAGAAATATTGTACAGTACTTGATATTGTCAAATGTGATATGATGGCTTTACCTCTCGGTATCCATTTTACCAAATTGTTAGTTACTAGGCTTTACAATGTTTAACAATACAGTATTAACATTTTATTTCATTTGTTTCAGGAACTGAATGCGAGGCCATTGCTTTCCATGTCACAAGCTAAAGAAATGATGTGGATTAATGCTCGGATAAGATTTTCAATAGCATTTTTACATAACTTGAGTGATGCAGATTCAATACTAATATAATACAGCAAGGAATAGTACAAAAAATCTGTAGAATTTATAGCAGCAATTAGGATGAAGGATTCTTCCTTTCACCAGTGGAGTGCCATGTAGTAACTTGTACTTTTTGATGATCTCTGGAGTGAGATGATGATATGGTGGGCCTTGGATGGTATGCGTGGTTGGTGGTGTGTGTACTGTGGTGGTTACTCTCGGTAGAGGTTACCACATCTCTGCCTGATGATCTTCTCACCATCACCGTACTTATGACCCTCCAGTACTCATTCATGCTGCTTTTCATAATCTCTGCTGCTCACCTCTACCGAACTGTGCTTCCTCATCCTGCCAGTGGCATTGTTGGCAGCTGGTTCACCTGAAGATTACTTCATAATACAAATATTATATAGTGTATCTGAATGTGTTCTCGTGCTAATGAAGTGGAAAATTTCTGAACGTGTAATATTCATGTATTATTTTTAAACCTGTTAAAATTATAAAGTTCACAGTATGGTTTAATGTGAAATTTTATGAATGCCTCATCTATACAGTTTGGCAAATACGAGACGAGGCTGTACTTAGCATGGTGGTTTCTATGGCAGGTGTGCTGGTAGCACTGGCAGTGGTGGCAGGTCATGTTTGGATTGTGTATGTGTCTGCACCTCATCTTCTTCCACCTGATGCCTGGCTCATTACTGCTTTGGATCTGTTGGCTCACTGGGCTCTTGTATGGGAAATAACTGCCTTCTGTAGTTTCCTTAATGATGTAGAAATTAAAGGGACTGGTGGTGGATTTGTTTCTGAATTGAGGAACAGTTGGATATAAGAGGCATTGAGAATTTGTTTAAATTCAAAACTATAAATAATGCATCAGAAGTTAATTAAATTTTGAAATATTTATATATTTTTGGGGTAAAAAAATTGGCTCTTAAGGTTTGATTTTTGCTTCAAATCATATTTGATTCATTTATATTAGACGCCCATAATGGAAAACTCTGGTACTGTGAATAAGGCATCGGATGTAAACAGATCAACTGATGTGCTAGAAATGCAGCAGCCAGTTTCGAACACGGAGGACATGGATAGTTTTAAGGTTTATGTTGCTGACACACCTAATGTACATTTGGATTTAGTTGGTGATAATTTAATTCATTCTGCTCCTGGATCGAGGTCATCCACACCGACTTCAAGAACAGAGTACAAATCACGTAGCAATCTATCGACACCAGAGGCACATAGGAAGTCGTTTAAAACAGGATCGATTGCATCACAGTTAGAGACGGCATGTAGCATAAATATGAGTGCTAACATTGCTCGTAAACTGAACAAGATGAGAGAATGTGGAGAAAGCTTGGGTAGTTCATCACAAAATAGCTTTGAAGAGCTAGAAGGTGGTGCAGAATCTTGGGGACAGCCATCTCTTGACTCTGGATCTCAAGGATCTCCAACAGCCATTGGCAAAAGGCTCTTGCAAAAGCAATCGCTTCGTCAAGTGTTTCCCTACATTTCATGCCTTCCATTTGAAAATAACATTATATTTTGCTTTGTTTTGTCTGTTTGGGATAACATAGTTGGTCCTCAAACTGTTTATGTATGGAAAAGAAATGCATTTCCTTCACAAAAAACCTTTGATGATCTATTTGAAGACTCTGAAAGTCTAGATGTGGGTGAAGATGGTATGGAACATTGTAATTCTGCATCAAAACAGACAAATGCACAGCCAGAAGCAAATGTCAGTATGCCTTCCAAGAAGGCTAGTGGAAAAAAAAAGAAAAAATGGGATAAATATGAATCGAGGAGGTCAAGTAATGCTTCTAGTCATTCAGAAGAAAATTCCTCAATTGAGCTGGGAGAGAGATTATCAAATCTAACGGAAAACGTGGGCAGCCGTGTCGGACAGCATTGTGAGCAGGAGCTAAACTTTGATTGTCTAGAAAGTTCAAGAAAAAGCAGCAAAGATACATTACTGAAGTCTGAAAATATTTCCGAGGATCAAGAGAGTTCAGCATCACCAGAGATAACTACTGGCCTAGAGAATGAAGGTGACCATAAAGATAAAGACTTGAAAGAAGTGCCGCTAGCCAACTCAAATCACAGATCTTCTGATAGTTCTTGTGAACCACAAGGGCAAAGTAAGTCCAAAAGTTATTTATTTGAATATTAAATACTATGAATCCATTTTGTGAAATATGTGGAATAAGGTATTTGTTTCTCCCATACAATGGAATCGAGCATGCACTCCCCTGCATGTGGCTGGCCCTCATGTCTCTGCATGTGATTGACAGTGCCCCCCCTCCTCCTCCTGTCTCTGCATGTGATTGACAGGGCCCCCCCCTCCTCCTCCTGTCTCTGCATGTGATTGACAGGGCCCCCCCCCTTCCTCCTCCTGTCTCTGCATGTGATTGACAGGGCCCCCCCCTCCTCCTCCTGTCTCTGCATGTGGCTGACAGGGGCCCCCCCTCCTCCTCCTGTCTCTGCATGTGGCTGACAGGGCCCCCCCCCCCCTTCTCTTGTCTCTGCATGTGGCTGACAGGGGGCCCCCCCTCCTCTGTCTGCATGTAGCTGACAGGGGCCCCCCCTCCTCTCTCTCCATGTGGCTGACAGGCCCCCCCCCCCCTCCTCCTCCTGTCCTCTGCATGTGGCTGACAGGACCCCCTCCTCCTGTTTCTGCATGAGGCTGACAGGGCCCCCCCTCCTCCTTCTGTCTGCATGTAGCTGACAGGGCCCCCCCTCCTCCTTCTGTCTCTGCATGTAGCTGACAGGCACCCCCTCCTCCTTCTGTCTCTGCATGTGGCTGACAGGGCCCCCCCTCCTCCTGTCTCTGCATGTGGCTGACAGGGCCCCCCCCCTCCTCCTGTCTCTGCATGTGGCTGACAGGGCCCCCCCCCTCCTCCTGTCTCTGCATGTGGCTGACAGGGCCCCCCCCCTCCTCCTGTCTCTGCATGTGGCTGACAGGGCCCCCCCTCCTCCTGTCTCTGCATGTGGCTGACAGGGCCCCCCCCTCCTCCTGTCTCTGCATGTGGCTGACAGGGCCCCCCCTCCTGTCTCTGCATGTGGCTGACAGGCTCCCCCTCTCCTCCTCCTGTCTGCATGTAGCTAACAGGGGCCCCCCCTCTCCTCCTCCTGTCTGCATGTAGCTGACAGGGTCCCCCTCCTCTCCTCCTCCTGTCTCTGCATGTGGCTGACAGGCCCCCCCCCTCTCCTCCTTCTGTCTGTGCATGTGGCTGACAGGCCCCCCCCCTCTCCTCCTTCTGTCTGTGCATGTGGCTGACAGGGGTCCCCTGCCCATTCCCATCTGTGCCTGGCATGGGTGGCCTCCCATCTTGTCTGTGCCTGAGGGGGGTGGGGGGGGGATCCCGTCTGTGCCTGACAGGGGCGGGGGGCATCCCATCTGTGCCTGACAGGGCAGGGGGGGGGGCATCCCATCTGTGCCTGACAGGGCAGGGGGGGGGCCATCCCATCTGTGCCTGACAGGGCAGGGGGGGGGCATCCCATCTGTGCCTGACAGGGCAGGGGGAGGGGGCATCCCGTCTGTGCCTGACAGGGCAGGGGGGGGGCATCCCATCTGTGCCTGACAGGGCAGGGGGGGGGCATCCCATCTGTGCCTGACAGGGCAGGGGGAGGGGGCATCCCATCTGTGCCTGACAGGGCAGGGGGAGGGGGCATCCCATCTGTGCCTGACAGGGCAGGGGGAGGGGGCATCCCATCTGTGCCTGACAGGGCAGGGGGAGGGGGCATCCCATCTGTGCCTGACAGGGCAGGGGGAGGGGGCATCCCATCTGTACCTGACATTGCAGGGGGGGGGCCATCCTGTCTGTGCCTGACAGGGCAGGGGGGGCCATCCCGTCTGTGCCTGACAGGGCAGGGGGGGCCATCCCGTCTGTGCCTGACTGGGCAGGGGGGGGGGGCATCCCGTCTGTGCCTGACAGGGCAGGGGGGGGCCATCCCATCTGTGCCTGACAGGGCAGGGGGGGGGCCATCCCATCTGTGCCGGGCAGGGGGGGGGCCATCCCGTCTGTGCCTGACAGGGCAGGGGGGGCCATCCCGTCTGTGCCTGACAGGACAGGGGGGGGCCATCCCGTCTGTGCCTGACAGGGCAGGGGGGGGGGGCCATCCCGTCTGTGCCTGACAGGGCAGGGGGGGGCCATCCCGTCTGTGCCTGACAGGACAGGGGGGGGGGCCATCCCGTCTGTGCCTGACAGGGCAGGGGGGGGGGCCATCCCGTCTGTGCCTGACAGGGCAGGGGGGGGGGCCATCCCGTCTGTGCCTGACAGGGCAGGGGGGGGGCCATCCCGTCTGTGCCTGACAGGGCAGGGGGGGCCATCCCGTCTGTGCCTGACAGGGCAGGGGGGGCCATCCCGTCTGTGCCTGACAGGGTAGGGGGGCCATCCCGTCTGTGCCTGACAGGGTAGGGGGGCCATCCCGTCTGTGCCTGACAGGGCAGGGGGGGCCATCCCGTCTGTGCCTGACAGGGCAGGGGGGGGCCATCCCGTCTGTGCCTGACAGGGCAGGGGGGGCCATCCCGTCTGTGCCTGACAGGGCAGGGGGGGCCATCCCGTCTGTGCCTAACAGGGCAGGGGGGGCCATCCCGTCTGTGCCTGACAGGACAGGGAAGGGGGCCATCCCGTCTGTGCCTGACAGGGCAGGGGGGGCCATCCCGTCTGTGCCTGACAGGACAGGGAAGGGGGCCATCCCGTCTGTGCCTGACAGGACAGGGAAGGGGGCCATCCCGTCTGTGCCTGACAGGGCAGGGGGGGCCATCCCGTCTGTGCCTGACAGGGCAGGGGGGGCCATCCCGTCTGTGCCTGACAGGGCAGGGGGGGCCATCCCGTCTGTGCCTGACAGGGCAGGGGGGGCCATCCCGTCTGTGCCTGACAGGGCAGGGGGGGCCATCCCGTCTGTGCCTGACAGGGCAGGGGGGGCCATCCCGTCTGTGCCTGACAGGGCAGGGGGGGCCATCCCGTCTGTGCCTGACAGGGCAGGGGGGGCCATCCCGTCTGTGCCTGACAGGGCAGGGGGGGCCATCCCGTCTGTGCCTGACAGGGCAGGGGGGGCCATCCCGTCTGTGCCTGACAGGGCAGGGGGGGCCATCCCGTCTGTGCCTGACAGGGCAGGGGGGGCCATCCCGTCTGTGCCTGACAGGGCAGGGGGGGCCATCCCGTCTGTGCCTGACAGGGCAGGGGGGGCCATCCCGTCTGTGCCTGACAGGGCAGGGGGGGCCATCCCGTCTGTGCCTGACAGGGCAGGGGGGGCCATCCCGTCTGTGCCTGACAGGGCAGGGGGGGCCATCCCGTCTGTGCCTGACAGGGCAGGGGGGGCCATCCCGTCTGTGCCTGACAGGGCAGGGGGGGCCATCCCGTCTGTGCCTGACAGGGCAGGGGGGGCCATCCCGTCTGTGCCTGACAGGGCAGGGGGGGCCATCCCGTCTGTGCCTGACAGGGCAGGGGGGGCCATCCCGTCTGTGCCTGACAGGGCAGGGGGGGCCATCCCGTCTGTGCCTGACAGGGCAGGGGGGGGGGGCCCATCCCGTCTGTGCCTGACAGGACAGGGAAGGGGGCGGGCCCATCCCGTCTGTGCATGTGCCTGACAGGGTCTCCTTCCCTATGTTCCTGACATTTGCTGTCAAATATTTTGCTGAAACATGAGTGGTGATTCTGTGATGGCATAAAGTGAACAAGGTATATTATTATTAATTGATGAATGTTGTTTGTGTAGTGTATTCTTATCATACATAGATTCCTATTACCCTCTAGGCTTATTCTTTTAACCTCATGTAAGTGGAGACACTAGGTAATTGTGATTATTTTGTAGGTTTTTAATAAATCTGTATCATGCCAAGTATGAAGCCTAAATTTTGTACATTGTTAAATATTTAATTTCCTGTCAATACTAGTATTTACATTCTGTGAAACTTAAATGTTCTTTTTCTTAAATAAGCTATAAAAAATATTGTTTAATAGCAATATGTATAAACTGAGGTCTTTCCAGACAAAGGTAACTACTTGATGATAACATTTTGATGTTGAGAAAATGGTGTGTAAAAATGTTGCTTTTACTTTAATGTTTCTTGATCTTGTACTCAGAGTTTGGGAGCAGCTGGTCGTGTGGTCGTAGTAGACTGCGGATAGGGAAGGTGGTATGGTACGTGACTGTACACAGTGTTGGGGTCGGGCAAGTGGGGCCTTCGTCAGATAAGATTAAATCGTCACTTCACGTGGTTCCTCACCAGGGAATTATTATTGTGGCTGCCAGGTTAGTTTGCACATGTATTCTTAAACTATATACAGTACTGCACCTTTTTATTAAATTTGAATGTGGAAGATGGTGTAATGAATTCCCCCCCCCCCCCCCCCTCACACACAAAGTACTGGCAGCAGCAGAACCAGCAACCCAAATAATTGCATTGAACTTGAACTTGCCAAATTTATTTATGGAATGAACCACATAGTTCTTTTAGTCTGAGAATCTGATAATATTGAACACAGTGTAAAACTAAATGCTGGAAAATCCAAAACAATCAGGGTCTATTGCCGAATACTGGTGTGGTTGATTTTGGATAATCTTTACCTCGGCTTAACATACATTGCCAATTTTTTTTTTTTTTTTTTTTTTTAACCAAGTACAGGAGTACCTTGGTTTAAGAGTTTAATTCGTTCCTGGAGATGGCTCGTATTCCGAAGCTAATTTCCCCATAAGAAATAATGGGAAATGAATTAATCCGTTCCTGACTACCCCAAAAACCCCACATCAAACTAAATTTTTATAACTAATTCATCTATATAAACTACAAAACTATGTTCAAGTTATTACTTGCCTTGCTGTTGAATGCTGTAGGCGTATGGAAAATGGTGAGGAGAGGAGGAGTTACTATTTGAAAGGGGAGTCCCCTTCCATTATCACATCAGGCAGCGAGGACCTTTCTGGTGTGCACTCCCTGGCACGTTTTATCTGAGTACCACTAGGTCCTGGTTGTGGCTCACTGCTCGATTTTTCTCGCCACAAATCTGTCCATGGAAGCTTGCTTTTCCCTTCTTCGCAAGCTGTCTCTGTAGTAAGGCATCACATTGTCATTGAAAAGATTAAGGCAACGGCCTACTACAGCTTTCTCTGGGTGAGTCTTTTCAACAATTGTTTGAATCTCTTCCTCTTCCTTGAATCTCTTTGAATCTCTTTGAATAATAACAAATTGTATAGTCAAATGACCAAAAATCCAACAAAACACTGAAAGTCCGGGTGAAGAATTGATGTGGGATAGTCACTAACTGGGCGGGAGACAATGGTAAACTGAGGGGCAGAGGGGCGACGATCGCCGTACCGCCCTAGGTCGGCCTGAACGCGTATCAACAAACTCGCGTTCCGAGGTAACCCTCGCCTTCCGAGACACATTTTCTGAGGAAATCCGGCTCATATTCTGAAAAACTCTCATACAGGGACACTCGTATTCTGAGGTACCACTGTATTTATTTATAATTTGCAATGTTACACAACATAAAAGGTGTACAGTGGTACCTCGGAATACGAGTGTCCCTGTATGCGAGTTTTTCGGAATACGAACCGGATTTCCTCAGAAAATGTCCCGGAAGGGGAGGGTTACCTCGGAACGCGAGTTTGTTGATACGCGTTCAGGCCGACCTAGCGCGGGGTGGTACGGCGATCGTCGCCCTTCCGCCCCTCAGTTTACCATTGTCTCCCGCCCAGTCAGTGACTATCCCACATCAATTCTTCACCCGGATTTTCAGTGTTTTGTTGGATTTTTGGTCATTTGACTATACAATTTGTTATTATTCAAAGAGATTCAAGGAAGAGGAAGAGATTCAAACAATTGTTGAAAAGACTCGCCCAGAGAAAGCTGTAGTAGGCCGGTGTCTTAATCTTTTCAATGACAATGTGGTGCCTTACTACAGAGACAGCTTGCGAAGAAGGGAAAAGCAAGCTTCCATGGACAGATTTGTGGCGAGAAAATAGAGCAGTGAGCCACAACCAGGACCTAGTGGCACTCAGATAAAACGTGCCAGGGAGTGCACACCAGAAAGGTCCTCGCTGCCTGATGTGATAATGGAAGGGGACTTCCCTTCCAAACAGTAACTCCTCTCCTCCCCCCTCCTCATCTTCCATACGCCTACAGCATTCAACAGCAAGGTAAGTAATAACTTGAACATAGTTTTGTAGGTTTATTTAGATGAATTAGGTAAAAAAAATCAGTTTGATGTGGGGTTTTTGGGGTAGTCAGGAACGGATTAATTAATTTCCCATTATTTCTTGTGGGGGAAATTAGCTTCGGAATACGAGTTTCCGGAATATGAGCCGTCTCCAGGAACGGATTAAACTCTTAAACCGAGGTAACCCTGTGTATTTATGTAAATTTATTTATAAATATATATTTATATAAATATATATTTAAATTTATTTAAAATTTATTTATATAAATTATTTATTTATATTAATTTATATATAAATTTATATCAATACATTTATTTATACCAATTTATTATACATATTTATTTCATATTTATACATAAAACATTTTTATATCTATATTTATTTAAATATATTATTTATTTATGTAAATATATTTACGTAAATATATTATTTATTTACGTAAATATATTATTTACGTAAATATATTATTTACGTAAATATATTATTTACGTAAATATATTATTTACGTAAATATATTATTTACGTAAATATATTATTTATTTACGTAAATATATTATTTATTTACGTAAATATATTATTTATTTACGTAAATATATTATTTATTTACGTAAATATATTATTTATGTAAAAAAGTGTTAAAGGTTTAATATTTGTTTACCAGTGAAGGATAATTTGAGTATGCATTGATGACGGTAAAAAGAATCGTGTTCAGATAAATGTCAGTCGTCGGCCACAGTGACGTACAATACTGTACTCTATTTAGCAAATACTGTACATACTTGGAATTTCTTTTTAAGACAAATAATAGTCCAATGTTTATGATGTGAAAACGATAAATACTGTATTGAAGGTAGTGAGGGACTTGCTCACCCAGCTCTGGTAACTTTACCTAAACATTACATTCTAGTCTCCAAAACATGTGAATTTTTCTTTGGATATTGATTATTTTGCGAGTAGAAAATGTCTGGCAGAAAGTCTGACTAGACCACTTGGGAGGAGGATGTGGTCAATTTGAATAAGTTTGAACTGATACCAAGTTATCAAGGCTGGGAATGAGGAGCAGCCAATGGACATTTGAGGGAGTTATCAAAGATCTGTAATTTTGTATACACTACTTCTAATGTTATATTGTGCTTATATTAAACAATATTGTAATATTTGAATAGAAGTGGTCCTTAACAGTACTATATAATAAGAGTATAGTGCAACCTTACAAATTATAAATATGCTTTGAAATTGTTTCCCAAATGTTTTTTAATCTTATGAATAGATTCACAGAGAGAAAGTTCCATATAAATATCTTGTGTATCAGTGGTTGAATGGCTGGTATAATTTGGACGAGTTTTTAAATGTAGACGTGTACAACTTTTGATTACGGTATACTTTTCCTGTATATTTATACCTTGCCAAACTTTCTTAATTTGACATTTTGCATAAGCCTTAATATATTGATTACCTTTCAATGAGTCTTGCTTTCAGATTTACAGTAGAGGAGGAAGATGGTGGTGTACCATATTGTTTATCTATGGTGGTGCCTCTGGAGGAATACAAGAACTTCCTTCCTCTCACAGAGATGGTGACCACCTGGCTCGTCACCATTGCTGCCAGTACCAGGCTTCTCATAACTAAGGTGCATGACTTTTTTTTTTTATGCTTTAGATATTGGTTTAAGTTTACAGCAGTTTGAATTTAGTTTGCAGTATGGAGTACTGAGGGGCCTCGTAGCCTGGTGGATAGCGCGCAGGACTCGTAATTCTGTGGCGCGGGTTCGATTCCCGCACGAGGCAGAAACAAATGGGCAAAGTTTCTTTCACCCTGAATGCCCCTGTTACCTAGCAGTAAATAGGTACCTGGGAGTTAGTCAGCTGTCACGGGCTGCTTCCTGGGGGTGGAGGCCTGGTCGAGGACCGGGCCGCGGGGACACTAAAGCCCCGAAATCATCTCAAGATAACCTCTCAAGATATGGGTTCGTTCTTTATTTTAATATCAAGACGAGACCATTTTGGAATGAATTAGACTATATTGCAGATGATGAGTCACAATAACATGGCTGAAGATATGAAGACTAAACCCTACATGCCAGAAGATAAGACGACGACATTTGTCAGTCCTGGATCATCATCACAATCGATAATGGTCCAGGATAAACCAAAACGTCATCTCATCTTCTGGTGTGTAGTTTAGTCTCCATTAGGCTATATTAATCAGTAAATTTTGGTTTGGATAGTCCTAACAGTTGTCTGTTATATCTAGCAAATGTAGTAAAAGAGCTGCTCTTCTTGGTATAACTTTGATTGTAGGTTTACCGTATTTCTGCACATTAGATTCCAGTTCTGTGTTGGGGAGCAGTGAACTATCGGCAGTAGCGCTGATATTCGAATTTATAAAAAGCACAATGTTATTCCACCAGTGTTACCATTCTCCCTTCCTGACCTCTCTTCCCTGTTTTGGGGAGGTGTTCCCTCTTTTGTCAGGATTTGAGATACCGGGTAATTATAGGGAGGAAAATGCTAGGTCACTGTTAGTGCTGCCACCTGGTGGCATAGGTGGTTGTGATGGGCTGTAAGGCTTTACTCATGGCTACCAACAGTAGTTTTGTAATGTCACTGGGATTCTGAAGTGATTAACCCTTCCACTGTGTATCACAGCTGGAGTCATGAAGGCTAGTTATCTGCAAACTGCGCATAACGGCTGGAGCCGTTTTAAAATGCCACACAAGATTTAAGTCCTGCACATACACAGGCCTCGGACTTTTTTTCCTCTGGCCTCTAGTAACCATCCCCAATTTTGGAACAAGATCCCAAGTCCCTCACCTTCCTTCTAGGGCCTTATTAAAACAATGAGGACCATGTCTGGCACACTCACCATCCAGTGTCTGGGATGTACAAGTTGGCCATAATAGAAACCATTGAATTTTTAACAGCAGCAAATGAGTAATTGCCATATACTGTACAGTATATATTTACAGGCAAAATGTGTGCTATATTGATTGTTGACCAGACCACACTAGAAAGTGAAGGGACGACGACTTTTGGGTTCGTCCTGGACCATTCTAAAGTAGATTGTGATGATTGAAGTTGTTGTTTTTTTTGATTCAGCAACTCGGAATAAAAGTTTCAAGCAGCACGGGCTATGGTGAGCCCGTAGTGGACTTGCATGGCACAGGAGCGAGGCTGTAACTTGTTGATGATTGAAGGAGGAGAATGCAATTAATAGGCAGAAGAGAGGTGAGAAGAAAACCTTAGAGGAAGAGAAGGCAAGGCAAAGGTAGGGAAGGTAAGATGTAATAAAGGGGATAGTAAGAATGAGAACAAGAACACGAGAACAAAGATAACTGCAGAAGGCCCATTGGCCCATACGAGGCAACTCCTATTTATACCACCCAATAAGAAGGGGATAGTAAAAGGAATAAGAAGGGGAAATGGTAGAAATAAGCAAGAGATCGTGAGAGAGAACAATGGAAAAAAAAAAGGAAAAGAGAGAGAGAGAGAGAGATATAAGTGGAAAGGTAAGCTTATGTTAGGTCACGTTTGTTAGAAAGTTTAGAGCATTTAAGTATATACTGTGAAAGGGAACAGTCAACAGCAACAAAGCCAGGACTAAAGTTCATGTTGGGTACATTGTGTATTAGAGCCGATTCAACGAGACTGCGTCTGTGTAGAGTAGAGGCAGGAAAGATAATTTTTGAGGAAGGCCAATCAGTAGGATGATTAGAATCCCTAACATGACAGAGAGCAGTGTTTGTGTCAGCAGACTTGTCTGTCATTGAGTGTATGGCCAGTTTTGCCAAAGTATTGGAGAGGACAAGACGAACAAGAAATAGACACCAGCAGCATTAGAAGCAGGAGGAGCAGTGTGAACTAGATTGCTACGAAGTGTTAGTTTGTCGAAAGGCGAGCTTTATGTCAAGAGGACGAAAGGTATTAGTAAAAGTTTTGAGTTCAGATATGAAGGGAAGGCAGAGTGCTACTAGTGTTGGAAACAGGTTTAGAATGAAAGAAATTTTGTTTAGCTTGAGAAAAGGCACAGGTGATAAAATGCAAAGGGTAATCAATGCGAGAAAATGATTTGTAGATAATGCAAAGGTGCAATGCGGTACCTTGCCTCATTTCTAAAAAAAAAAATTACTACTGTACAATTAAACTAAAAGAGGTAGAGAATGTCAAATAGAATAGAATATACAATGGAGACCTTTTAGTCAGATTTTCATGCTCCCTCGATGTTAATTTTCAAAAAAGAAAAATTCTGAATTTTTTTTTTTTTGTGTGCACCGCGAGGTTTGTCACGTTTATAAGGTGAGCAATGCAGGAGTTAAGTAAGCTAGTGAATAGATCAATTGGCTTCTGTCAGTGCTGGATTGAGACGCGCTAGTCATGGAAGTTGTTGGGATCGAACTGTCGACAACCCAACACATTTAATTTAGGTTTATTCTGAGTGTTTATCCTATGTTTCGTTGTACTATAACGGGGTACATTAATCTGATCAGGTGTCAGCCTCAGCCGGACCTATTGTCAGGTGCGACACTCTTTGTGCTGAGGTCTGACAAAGGACAAGAAAATAAGATTGTATAAAAACTTCATCATGGATATATTCGGATATATCTCTAACCACCTTATATACAATATATTACATGTATATATATTTAGGCATTGTACACAAGTACAGTTTTATATATATATATATATATATATATAGAGACACTGCGACCATGAAATGGTCGTCTCTTGTCCGATTGTTCTTCCCACTTATAAATCATCCACTTGTCCGTAATTAGGACCACTATTCGGACACTGTGTTACCTCAACGCCTCTAACTATCAATGACGGTGCCTTCCATGACCTCAGAGACGTCTTCCATGCCGCTAGGTCCTCACGTACGTTTCCTTTGGTGAGGGTGGAGCATACTGGAACAGTTGGGTCAGTTGGTCAAACATCCGAAAGCGACGAATGCATGTTGACTCAATGGAGGGGAGTAGATGTCTGTCTCTCCACATGCTCCGGCCAGCACACGTTACCTCGCCCGGTGGTTCTGATTGGCTAACAGAAATTCCTGCCACCGGACGAGCCATACCGTGCTGACCGTTAACGACCTCCATTATCGTTAACCTCGTTCTTCCTGTAATAATGAACGTATTTCTATTATATAACCGTGTCTTTATGCGAGGAAATAACACGATACATCGTAACAAAGTACAGTATCATACTTGACTGTGTTAGGATGCCATAGGCCTTCTGGTTGTCCTCTTGTCTGACTGAAAACTTGTACCTTCTTGGCATGCAGAATAGAATACCCAATATAGTAGATAAATACTTTGTTTTCACAAGATTAATTCGTACTTTTAATTAGCTTTTCGACATGTTTTATTCATCATATTTCCTTTTCCTTGGCCCTCTTCACTTTTTATCCATAGAAATAATTTTGTTCTTGTCAGGAACTGTACTTGTTTCCTTTTCAACTATTACTCCCATTTTAATTGTATTGTAAATCATAATATTTATACTGTATATTAATTTTTCTCAGCATGGTCTTGGAGGGGGTGGACTGGTACAGAGCAAATTAGTAGAACTGTGTGATGTGTTGGTGGCTTTAAGAAGTGCCAGTTTAGATCAGTATCCACTTACACCAGCTGGCCGACCTCCTGATGACCGCAGGCTTGCCGAGATCATTCTTACCTCGCATTTGCAAACTATGGGGTCTACAGTTGTTGTTGCAGATTCACCAAATGCTGCCAATAAGGTATTTCATTTTAAAATTTAGTAAGTCATGTGGATTAAATGTACAGTGGAACGTCGACTTATGATTTTTTTGAGTTATAACCCCAGTTTCGTTGGAAAATTTGACTTGGGACTTTGATGATACACGTATGGGTCGATGGAGCTCGTGGTTCCTGGTAGCACGGGTGACCCCACTTCAGTTTACCAGACTGCACGCTTAGTAGCGATCGCTCTTGAATTCTTTGTAAAGAATTTCATTGGTTTTTCAGCTTTTTTGCTTTCAAAACATAAAAGTAATTATATACTATGCCATGGGTTCCTCAACAATTAAGTGGTGTGCAGTATGAGAAGAAATGCAAAGTTTTGTTAAACGACTCTCCCAAATCAAGCGGCAGTAGGCCATTGCCTTAAGCTTTTCAATGACAGTTATGCCTCGCTACAGACCAAAAAAAAAAAAAAAGCAGTGAGCCACAACCAGGTCCTAGTGGTAAGCAGGCAAAACATAGGGAAGAGAGTACACCAGAGTCATCACTGCCTGATACAGTATTATAATGGAAGGGGACTTCCAAATACTTAACACCTCTCCTCCTCTTCCATATGCCAACAAGTCATCAATAAAGGTAAGCTATAAATTGTACATTCTATAGTACATAATGTGTGTGTTATGTATGAAATGTATTTTGAAGTTTATATTTTTGGGAGTGTAGAATGGATTAACCCTTAAACCGCACAAAACACACACACACAATTTGACATAACTCAAGTTTTTCAAATATTCATCTGGTGTTATACTCTCAGAATAGCGCATGATTTTCATGTTCATCCAGTTAGAATATAGGTTTTTCAATATAGTTTACTGTAAAAAAAAAATTGTCGATATGGCATTTGAAATGTGCTGCAAATTTAGACAAATATAAATTGTAACTTGAAATGTGTAGAATTTATAAAAAGTCCATTCTGAAGGGAGTCTCCCGTGTAGTACGCTCTCATTTTCTCACTTTCTCGCCAGGCTTTTGGGCTTTATATGCATTTAGTCCTGTAGATAATTTCATTGTGAATACATTGATACCAAATTGAAAGACCTAGGACCAGAATTGAGGTAACAAAGTTGAAAACAGAATACCCATTTTATTGCTCCTTATTAGCGCTCACGCGGGTAACGCTCTGTCACTTTCTCTGTTTGCTGTGGGTGGTACGCCGGACTTTTGGACTTTATATTTGCATATACTCCTATAGAGAATTCTATTGCGAACTCAATGATACCAAAATGAAAGACCTAGGACGGGAATTGAGATGTCCAAAGTGAAGAGAGAGCTCTTGCCCGTTCCCGGGTAAGAAACTCGCTTTCTCGCCGGGCTTTTGGGATTTATATTCATTTAGTCCTGTAGAGAATTCTATTGTGAACACGTTGATACCAAATTGAAAAACCTAGGACGAGAATCGAGATCACAAAGTTGAAAAAGTATACACTTTTCAGAATTACCGCGCCCTCTAATGTAATGAGGAGCTTGGGGTGGCGCAGCGCTCTTTCTGGTTACCGCGGCCTGTTTTCATCACGTCGGCAGGTGGAGATCGCTGCTGTTTTTGACATTACAGTATATGGATATACTTCTCTTGGGAATTCTATTGCGAACACATTGATACCAAAATGAAAGACCTAGCACGAGAATTGAGTTGACAAAACTGAAAGAGTGTAAACATTTTATCCCTCTTGTGTGTTCCCGGGTAACTTTCTCTCACTTCCTCTGTTAGTTGCGGATGGTAAGCCGGGCTTTTGGAGTATATATGCATTTAGTTTTGTAGAGAATTCTATTGCGAACACAGATACCAAATTGAAAATCTTAGGACGAGAATTGACCTGACAAAGTTGAAAAAAATATGCACTTTTCAGAATTTAACCGTGCTCTCCCTCGCGCTCCCGTGAAACGCCCAAGCCCACCTGGGGTATATCTTGAGATATCTTGAGATGATTTCGGGGCTTTTTAGTGTCCCCGCAGCCCGGTCCTCGACCAGGCCTCCACCCCCAGGAAGCAGCCCGTGACAGCTGACTAACACCCAGGTACCTATTTTACTGCTAGGTAACAGGGGCATAGGATGAAAAACTCTGCACATTGTTTCTCGCCGGTGCCTGGGATCGAACCCAGGACCACAGGATCACAAATCCAGCGTGCTGTCCTCTCGGCCGACCAGCTCCCCTCACCGGGTAATGGGGAGGTCGCACCCAGTGAGCGAAAGTGTTAAGTTAATTGTATGTTTTAATAAACACTGTTTGGCATTCGTACTCGAATATTTGAAAGTTGTAGTTAATATACTGTACGTCAAAATAAAGTCAAACACCCCCCCCCCCCCACACACACAAAAAAAATAGGGATAATTATAATAATTTTAATGATTTAGGGGATATATTTAGGATGTACTTTATATAAGTGAAAAAGCCCTAATCTGGTATCTCATCAAAACAACCTAAAGAGACAAAGAAAATATTTTGAAATCTGTGAAAAAATCAGCCCCCCAACAATTTAAAGTCCCAAGTTCTGCAAGTTGACTGATTTATTTGTTGACCAATTTCATTTTATAGTTAGGAAAGATTATATATACACTCTCCAGGATGTAAAGGTTACAGCAAAATCACATAATAAACAAAGGAGAAAAAAACTAAAATCTTAAAAATTCCACTAAAAATATTTTTTAGATATGAAGACTAGAATAAATATTCTTGTCTTCATAGGTATGTTTTTGTGCTTCATGATAGATCCAGTGTTTTCCCCTTTGTTAGTTAGCTTCAGGGAGCCACCATTCGGCCCCTCTAGAAAACTAGCTTTAAATGCAATGAAATGTGGCTCTGTTTCCATCCCCCTGCCCCTTTTCTAGGTGTGTTGGTTCGTGGTGTTTCACCTCCTGTTTGTTTGATGATGGTGGGATCTGTGGGTGGTGCTGCCACTTGCTGGCCAGCTGTAACTATGGAGGTTTAATCCAATTACATACAGTACTGTACTTGGCAAACTGTTATCGTTCAGTTTGTTCCTTTTTCCGAGCCTTACAGTTGTCTGTATTGTTTTGCCTACTTTCTAATGTTTTCTTTGCCGAGGGTGAGGGTAACGATTTCCTGCCCAGTGTTCCTCTTGTAAGGGAGGAAGGGGTCGAGGCTCTGGCTCCTGGTAGGCCATACAGGACTCCTAAGGCTCGTGTGACTCATACAAGTGGAGCTACAGTATTTAGGTAAGATAGCTTCAGGGAGCCACCAAGGACCTACCAGAATGAGGAGCTTCATTACATTTAAAGCTAGTTCTTCTGCTTGCGTGTAATTACCCAAGTACAGTATACTTATAGGATGAGAGCTATGCTCATAGTGTCCTGTTTTTCCAGTACACTGTGATGCTTTGAAACTCCTGACAGCTTTGGCATCTACCACTTATGTGTTCCAACCATCATTTGTGTGTATGAATGTGCACGTGTGTGCTCGGTTAGTTGATCTCCTTTCACCAAATCTTGAATACTGTAACGTACTATGTATAGTATTGCCACTTGAGCAGAGCTTGTCCCTTCAAAATTACAGTTGAACAAAGAGCTTTTTTATTAGGTTACATCATATGGGTAACATTGTATACACCAGGCATTTTTGTAAATTTTGTTGAAACCAAAGGGTTATGTTTTTGTGATGGGGCCAAAACAAGATTGGCATAAAAATATATTAAAATAAATAAGAATGCAGTACTTACTGTATTAAAGATAATTTGAAATTTATTAAAGTTGTTTGAAATTAGTGATGCGGAGTAAACAAAAATTTTTGTATTAAAAAAAAAAAATACCAACTAGATTCCTTCCAAGCCTGTTGTGTATTATTGCCCGTGTTTTAATACATGTATTGGGCAATCTTCATTAATAGAGGAAGAATTTACCAGTAATAGAAAAGTAAGATTATATAGATTAAGTAAAAGATTATAAAGACAACCATCTATTTGCTATATTATCCTAACTCATCAATAAAGTTTATTCTGTACATATAAATATGTTAAAACGTGCTTTTTCTTTACTAGTACATAAAGTAATATGATTGGCATGGTTTTCATGCATCTTGACAGGTGGTGATGTGGATTGCTCAGTTCTCTGATCCAAGTACCCTTCATGCATCTAGACTGTGCCTCTCTTACACTCAATGGCCATTCCATCCTGGTTTGTTTATTCAGGTAAGACTGCGTATTGCTGAAATATTATTACTATTCTTTCTGGAGGGAGTCCCGTCGGCTTCCTGAAGTTATTACCGATTGTACCGTAGTACTAGGTGTCGTCAGACGTAGCGTTCTATTGGCCTACCTAGTACCATGCGCCAGAACCTGGTCCCCTCTAGAGAGGCACAGGGAGTGATGACCTATGAACACTTTACATGTAAATATTATCATCTTTGCCACCATCTAAGGGAGGGCACCCAGGAAGATAGGCAAATCAAAGTGGACTACTGTATGGAAACAAGACAGCAGCCTCAAAAGTGCCAAAAGAACTCCCCAACAATGAAAATAAATGACCAAAATTTCTCGACAAACGCCCTCCTCCCCTAGTTTGCCCCACCACCTCCCTCACCTGAGGGGAGGCAGGAGCTGACCCGGTTCAGCCAGGCTTGCACCCTCTAGTTCTATACTGATGTCATGTCTGTGCCTGGCAGTTGTTGTCGCTCTGGATCCTGTCTCCCGTTATCAAGTGGTGTTTTGCCTTTGAGGCTGTTCTCTTACACGAGTGTTGTGCATGAGCCAGGAGTTTAGTGTACTATACTTAGTTTAGTGTATTTAGTGTGTATGCTCAAGGTTTTCTTCCCTGTGCTCTGTAAGTACTGTACTACCTTTGCACTGACAGGGTTGTCTTCTCTGGGGCGGTCGGGCAACACTCTTGTTAGGGATTTTCCTTGCCCTTTCAAGCAAGCTGGTGGTGTGTGACTGACACTTTCCTGGGGTTGGGAGTGATTTTTTAGCTGGTGGGGCATACTATGGTCTGCATGACCTCTGCGCACAGAAGTTTCTCCCAGGCTGCTCGTTGCTTTTTTTTTTTTTTTTTTTTGGGGGGGGGGGGTGGAGTGGGTGATTTTCTGGCTTCATTGGTGTTTTGCCCATTTTCTGCTGGGGAGGGGGTTCTACCTTTCATCTTATTAAGCTTGCCTAAGGTGTATGCAGTTGAACCCCCTCTTGTTGCCTCCTTAGCTTTTCCATTGGGTTTGAGTAGCATGGTTGCTTGCACTGACAGGGTTTACCAGCGTAGTAGACCCCAGTGCCTGGGCTTCCTTCAGGCCCTGGGAAACCCCTGCAGGCTCAGTTGTACTACGGATACCTCTTCTGAGCCTAGTCTCACCTTATGTGACTATGAGGGTAGTTTGCCTGTGCCACTGGACGACGTTCATACATTCTTCCTCCGCCGTGCTGCTTGTTGGGTTGGTGACACCTGTGACCCCGAGTCGTGTGGGACTTGTTCCCCCGGTGTGCTCCATCTTCCTCAATTCTCTGGTAGTTCAAAAGTATCAAGCGGCAGTCGTTTTGCATCTCAAATTTTCTGTTTTGCAGCAGGCCAATTGTGCGCTCGGTTGGATGCCCCGAATCTGCCCCATTTGGTGTTTAGGGATTTGGATTTGGGGGCGTTTGTCACATTGGCCGTGGTTCTGTCCACAAGCCCACCCAAGCCTGCCCGCCCAGCAACCTAGCCCACCCACCCATTAACTTCCCTACCGAGCCTGCCTGCCAGTAAGCCACTAATCCATCCATGCACCTACCCACTCTACCTGCCTTCCAGCTGGCCATCAATCCATTCACCTACCTGCCCACCCAGCCAGCCCACCCATTCACCCGCCAGTCGGCCAAAAATCCACCCACCCACCCACCCTACCTACCCACCTTGTTCTGCCCACCCACCTGCTAACCCTGCCAGCCATCCATTGTTTTGAGACTACAGTTTGTAACCCACGATGTTGCCAAAGAAGCTGCTTGCTACAGATAGTGTCAAGAAGAAGAAAGACATAATTACTGTAGATTTGAAAAGGAAATTGCCTGACTCGGAGGTGGATTCTCCTTTCACACCGTAACCCCTCTCCTCCTCCCCACCTCTCCATCTCCCTCAAGCTGGCAATGACTCTTCATAAGGTGAAGTACAGTTGAAAACAGTAAAACAAGGCATTTATAATATGTATTATAATTACATTATAAAATTTCATATTGATGTTTTTCAGGGGTGGAATGGATTCATTTTATTTCCATTATTTTAAATGGGGAAATTCGTTTTGCAAGACGAACATTTCACATGACAAGCTAGGTGCTGAAACGGATTAATTCGTTAATTGAGGCTCTTCTGTATATATAAATAATGCATATACACATGCACCACCTGTGTACAGTTATTTACCTAATCATAGTGAAATCGTACGTGCATTTTATTATTAGCATACATTGTATGTACGGTATATACATTTAATTTGTTTGATTTAATTTTTAAGGACACATTTGTAATGCTTTATATTATTTAGAGGAACAACTGTAAGTGATAAGTTATTAGTGATACTGTATAATAGACAAAATTTTGTTAGCGTCTCAAGCTTTTTTTAATGTTGCTCGTCTATTTTGTTTTAGGCTACTTTATTCCCACCTTATGAAAATAGCAAAGATTTATTTTGAACTGGCTTCATTGTTAATTGTGCCTTCTGTAATCCCCAGGGTATTGTGAGAAGTGCAAGTGGAGAAGTGAACCTCTCTGCTCAGAAGTTAATCCAGTCATCTCGTCCATTAACTGTTGTTGATGTGAATCGGGGCACTGTCAAACAAACGGGTCCACCTGATGTGCATGCCCGCCGAAACTCGTCTGCCTTACACCAGGAGCTGTTGTCTCTGTGGCATGACTTGCCAGATGTGTCTGCTACATCAGAGTGAGTTATTGCATAATGGGATTAATTCTGTTGTACATTATATTTATTTTAAGATGGAATAGACTATACAGTTTAAACTAATTTCTAGATAAAAATGCCCCCCCCCCCTCTGGATAACTAAACTATTCGAAAAATAATTACTTTTATAAGACTACAACTTTTGAAAAAAAATCCCTAGCAAGTAAACCATCATTCCAGTTTGCAGTGTAACTCCTGGATTTAAGATAAGAAAAAATTACCATTTACAGTTTTATTTTGTATTAAATGCAATTTTTTTGTATGGGAACCTAACTCGATTATCTCATTAAACCTCTGGGGGGGAAAAAAGCCACAGAATTGAAGAAACTGGCAAATGGTTAAGATTGGGAAATTTCTGTAGAAGAAACCCGGAAGATGCAAATATAGTCTGTTCTATGTTTGTGTATTCTCAGGAGTCTTCTGGAGCCTGTTCGAATAGCAGCACCACTAGTCAAGAGATTCTTACACGATTATGATCGTCTTGGTTCCTGCAGTAATGAAGTACGACAAAATTTTATTAAAGCATTCTTGCGTTCTCTCCAGTATACGGCACTGGCCCTTATCACCTGGACCCAGCATGAATGGTAAATACTGTAGTTTTATCTATTTTCAATATAATTCTTGATTATGGTGTTTCTGTAAGGAAACGTAATTGGTGCCCTGTTATAAAAGTGGGTGCTCTGTAGGGTCAGTGCTTAAGGTAGTGGAATTCCACCCTATGGAATTAGGTAAGGCCTGGCCCCCAGGGAAGCAATTCTCAGCAAAAGAATAAGATACCAAAAATATGGTCTGTTGTCTGTGATCGCCTAATCCCCAACTCAAGAAGGGTATGGGAAACTCCAACATTAAAATGCCTATATATAATTTATTGACCCTGACCCCCCAAATATAACAAATACCTTACCTCCTCGATCTTACGTTATCTCTCGGACCCCACATAGACAGACGAGAGTTACAAATGGCAAACTAGAGGTAAGGTCTACCATCCTGAAGGGACAGTACACATCACTTATGTTAACATCCTATAACTCCCAACACGTGTTCACTAGTCAGCCCTACAGAACTTAATACTTGGGACCCACAATAATCGACTAGGATACACACATACAATTTGCACTTGGAACCACTAATGGCACGGTAAGTTACTATATACTGTACTTGTTGTTATTTAAAGAATAAGAAGAGAATAGTGGAAAGAACAGTGCCCACAGCCCAGGTCTACCTCGTAGCTCAGTAATGTAGAAAAGAACTGTCCTCACCATGCGGTTGGCTGCCTGAATGATTTAACTGATTGTACAGTAACAATTACTTATTCTTCGATACAAATACTTGCTTGCCACTAATCGGTTCTAAACATAACTAACATCCTAGCTTTACACTACACTAACATTAATTGTCGCAGATTATTACAACTCTGTGAGCATCAAGGTGTTCCTACGCCTGGCAGGGAAACGGGACTACTATTTACCAGGCTGAGGTTTCAAGTCCTCTTGAATATAAGAATCCCAGATATTTTATTCCTTCCCAAACCCAACCTATCTATTAATGCTCTATAATTTAACTAGTTAAAATCCCACACAGTCAAGGTCAGTCGCTAAAAGTACTTACGTGAATGGTCATAAATTCACGTGAAACAAACACTTCGATCCTGGTTCCTTGCAGAGTGCCAATCTTGGACCCAGGGTCGTAACATTCCCCAGGTTTTTTCATTTCTTTTTGTAGCTGGAATATGCTTGCATGTTTTCTTGAAGCTTTCAGCACTTGCCTGTTTTGGAGTCCATGGAGGTAGTGAATGAAAACCTTGCCAACTCAAAATGAAAATAAACCATAGAATTTGGTTTTAAATATCCTCATTAGCTTTCCCAAAGTTTCAACGATTTCTTGCAATAATGAGTAACAAAAATCATAACGTGATTGGAGCCATATTAATTAAGTTACCATTCATACCCTAATATTTTCCATGCTCAATGGGCTGATTTTACCAAAAAAAAAAAAAAAAAAAAAAAAAAAAAAAAAAAAAAAAAAAAAAATTGTTCAACCTGTCATATAAAGAACTACCAAGAAAACCTGTCTGTAGACATTTAACTACATCTAGTATATTCCCACTTTGAATCTTTTTCTAAGGAAATAGAACCCATATTAGTGAATGAAAACCAGGGAATCTCAAGATTTAAATGAACTATAGAATTTGCTTTCAAATATGCTCAATGGCTTTCCCAAGGCCCCTTACTATTTCTTGTAATGTGTCCATCTACAAAAATAATTAAAAAAAATATGATTGGAAGCATATTATGAGTTGCCATTTTGGCCAACAAAAAAAATTCCAAAAATGTCCAATGGAAAAATTCCAAAACACTCAACCAGAGATTCTGCAAATCAAGGTTCGTTGAATCAAGGTTCTACTGTACTGATGGTTTGGTAAAGTATTATCATCTCCCACAAAGTTTCCCACATTCATAGGATGGGGAGGCATCAGTCAGGAGATAAAGGGTGAATATAGTAAAATGGATTATATATAATAACAATTAGTGTGGTTATCGTACGTTGATTTAACCTATTATTGTCTGGGTTTTACACCAATTGTGCTGGTAAGGATATAATGGCTATCTATACATGGTTGTAGTGGAGTTCACCTTGACCCATGAACAAAATCTTGCTATTTCATTATTACCATGCCAGTGGGGTAAGCGTCATTGTATAAAATTTCATTATAATTGCACATGCCTACTGATTATGTTCACATGGTTTTTGCAACGCTATATGGATACTAGATACTGGCGTTATCCCTGACATACTAAAAACAGCAGAGATAGCACCACTCCATAAAGGAGGAAATAAGGCAGAGGCAAAAAATTACAGACCGATAGCACTAACATCGCACATCATAAAAATTTTTGAGAGAGTGCTAAGAAGTAAGATCACAAAATACATGGAATCACAGCATCTCCATAACCCCGGACAACATGGTTTCAGAACAGGGCGCTCTTGCCTGTCGCAGTTGCTGGACCACTATGATATGGCATTAGATGCTATGGAAGACAAACAAAACGCTGATGTAATTTACACAGATTTCGCAAAAGCTTTTGATAAATGTGACCATGGTGTTATTGCACATAAAATGCGTTCAAAAGGAATTACCGGGAAAATAGGCAGATGGATCTACAATTTCCTGACTGACAGAACCCAATGTGTAATAGTCAACAAAATAAAATCCAGCCCATCAACCGTGAAGAGCTCAGTCCCCCAGGGTACTGTGCTTGCTCCAGTACTTTTTCTCATCCTCATATCGGACATAGACCAGAACACAACCTATAGCACTGTATCATCCTTTGCAGATGACACTAGGATTTTCATGAGAGTTGGCAACATAGAGGACACGGCAAACCTCCAATCAGATGTAGATCAGGTCTTTCTATGGGCTACAGAAAATAATATGGTATTCAACGAGGATAAGTTTCAGCTCATGCGCTACGGAAAAATTGAAAATATAAAAACAGAAACCACGTACAAAACGCAGGCAAATCATAACATAGAACGAAAAGGCAATGTAAAGGACCTGGGTGTACTCATGTCGGAAGACCTTACCTTTAAAGAACACAATAAAGTAGCCGTCACAACTGCAAGAAAAATGACAGGTTGGATAACAAGAACTTTTCACACTAGAGATGCTATACCGATGATGATACTTTTCAAAACGCTTGTGCTATCTAGAGTGGAGTACTGCTGCACAATGACAGCCCCTTTCAAAGCTGGAGAAATTGCTGACCTAGAGAGCGTGCAGAGATCCTTTACTGCTAGAATCCACTCAGTAAAACATCTAAATTACTGGGACCGACTAAAGAGCCTAAATCTGTACTCCCTTGAGCGCAGGCGGGAGAGATACATAATAATTTACACGTGGAAAATAATTGAGGGGCTGGTCCCAAACCTGCACACAGAAATAACACCACATGAGACCAGAAGACATGGCAGGATGTGCAGAATACCCCCGTTGAAAAGCAGAGGTGCAACAGGTACTCTGAGAGAGAACTCTATCAACATCAGAGGCCCGAGACTGTTCAACACGCTTCCACTACACATAAGGGGCATAACTGGCAAACCCCTCACAGTGTTCAAGAGAGAACTGGATAAGCACCTCCAAAGGATACCGGATCAACCAGGCTGTGACTCATACGTCAGGCTGCGAGCAGCCGCGTCTAACAGCCTGGTTGATCAGTCCAGCAACCAGGAGGCCTGGTCGACGACCGGGCCGCGGGGACACTAAGCCCCGGAAGCACCTCAAGGTAGCCTCAAGGTAGGTAGATATAATTCCCAAAGTGTCTGGTATCCAACCTTGGTCACACGTACATTCTCATAGGTTCAACTATGGACTTTCCTCAGGATGAACAGGTATTATTTACTGCTAGGTGAACAGAGACATTAGGTTAAAGAAACATGTCCAGCCATTTCTGTCCTACCTGAAAAAAAAAAAAGAGATAAAGTAAAGTATTTGACAGTTTGGTTTCAAAACAGACTGCCATTATAATTAGTGATGAACTCTGCATTTGCATATCAGTCTCTGTACCTTGGTGTGATCCCTCCACATGTTTGATACCCACTCGGCTATTTGTAATTACTGTACTTGAGTGTAGTTACAGGGTAAGAGCTATGCTCATGGTGTCCCGTCTTCCCGGTACTCTTGTCATATAATGCTTTGAAACCACTGACGGTTTTGGCCTCCGCCACCACCTCGCCTAATTTGTTCCAACTGTCTACTACTTTGTTTGTAAAAGTGAGTTTTCTTATTTCTTCGGTAGCTTTTAGTTAATTTAAATCTGACCTCTTGTTCTTGAAGGTTCAGGTCTCAGGAATTCACATGCATACTGATTATGTTCACATGGTGAACATAATCAGTATGCATGTGCATGTGAATTAGTCCAAGAAGGACTAAGCTTTTTTATATACTGTACATTAGTTTATTTTCTGGGGGTTAGGAAAGAGGCAAAATTTTGCACACCCACAGATGGTGCTGATGGCACCCTGGTTTGGAAGCACTGCACTACCCATTGCAAACATTGTACTAGGATCAACACATTTCTGTTTTAGGTCAGCGCAGCGAAATCGGTCTGGATACGGATCCCTCCGTCGGGCTTTGTGTTCAGTCTTTGACGTGGATGAAGTGGACTTGCGTGTTGTGTTGGCCCAGGCAGAGATCCTCGAGCCAGGCTTTTATTCCTATGTTACATCTATGTCTCAATGATTTTTTCTCCTAAGGCTCACTGGTATGCTATACTCAATATTGTACTGTATTGGTTTGCACTGAGTTGGAAATAAATGCCATTAAATGTACTTTTTGCTGTAAATAATATTTACCAATGGTTTCATGCTCGAATTCAACACTGACAGCCCATTTGAGTCTAATAATACTGTACAAATGATTTAAGAATATAGTGCACATTAAGCAATATGTGTAAAACCAGAGATTTTTTACCTAAAGATTAAATACAAAATTAAAGGAATTATTGAGGAATGCATTATGACTTTGGACTCAATTTAGTGACATTTGATAACATGATTTGCACTAACAATTTGTAGGCAAGGCATTCACAGTAGAATATATTACAACTGTAGTGTCGAGGAATCTTAATTTTCATACTCGGTAATTTGCAAATCTAAATTAAATAGGATGTAAATTTCACATTACAGCCTGACAGAGCCATCCCAATATGTTAAATTTTTAAAATATGATGTAGAAAATCATCAAATTTTAAGAATTTAACCAAATCAAGATTATATGCATGTTTGTTGATAGTCTAATTTGCATCACATCAGTTGTTTTTTTAATATTAGTTTTATCACTTTTTTGCTAAATGTTATTTAAAGAGATTTATTTTCAAATAAACAATACCTCAAATCTAGTATTTATTTCTGTATTGATACAGGGAATAATGATGAACTAGAAAATGCTGATTTCGATCAATTTAACTTGGTTAGAATCTAACTGGGTTCATTGTAACTAGTGAAAGGGATTCACCTTAATTGTTTATGCTGTTAGTTCATTGCAGTCGATGGTAAGGAAAGTTAATCTCTTGCTGGACCTTTTGAAATGTAAATTACAATTAGCTTCAATTAAAAAATATACAAAAAGTTTTCAATTAGAGGGTCGACATTTATTTTCATGATTTACATCACAAGCTCATTTGTGGAAAGAAAATTGGATTATCTTTGAATTTTCCTAAATATAATATGGAGACAAAAATCATGTATACATGTCATTTTTGCATAAACAGATAAGTACATCTAGTCATATGATGGGGGAGGGGGGGGATCATTGAAGTTTTTTTTTAGGTTAGAGATTTGCTTCTATAATTACATTCTTACTGATATTTGTTGACTTCTAAATTGATGATTCAGCTGATAAATGTATCTAAAATTTAGGCCTAGGAACTTTTGGATCTGGCTAAATAAGGAAAGTTAGTTATTTAATAGTCATGATTATTTAACAGTACTGTATTTTATATATAATTGTTCTTAAAAGTAAAATATACAATATTGATCAATTTAGATATTTGAGTTGTATGTTACTGTACCATGTAGTGTAGTGCACTCATCATTTGTGCCTTCAAAAAAAATATAAACTTGTGCTAAAAGATATATATATACTTAATTTTGCACTTTGATACGAGATATTTTATGTAATGTAAATTAAAATTTGTATGGGTGAACATAGTGTAATTTGATTTTCAAATACTGTATTGTGATTTTTTGGGCATTTGCTTGCCATATCTACATTGTTTAACCCAATCATTTCACAGTATGCTAATGCTGTATTAGGAGTAAAGTGGGAGATTACTGCATTACCAAAGTTGCTTGCATTTGCAACAGTTATGAGCACATATGAAATATATTTTTCTGTATGCCATTCATTTTCTAAAGTCATATATATTGTGTAAATGACAAGGGGTCTAATTTATATTTATTTTGAAAGGTATTTTGGTTAATTTTTAGTTTTTAAATATGGAAAATAAAGTGGTTTAATTTTCCTGATGGCCCCCTCAGTGGCTGCGAGCTTAACTCTGGTTCCACCGAGTCTTGGTAAGGAGCAAGGAATTGGGGCCAAAAAGCATAGGCGAAGCTAAGAAAATTATTCACCTCTAGGTTAAAAAAGGCAAATGATTGTAGTTCAGTACATGATAAATAGTTTATTTTTCCCAACTGCCACAAAGTTGCAGCCTAGGTCATCTTAAGTCTTGGCCAGCCTGTCCCCCATTGTCTCACCTGCTGACATTGGTCCAACATCTTTAGCTTTTGTTGGGCCTGATGTCTGCTTCTTACATAGTCAAGTGGTGTTTGCATTCACTAGACCATTACATTCCACTGGGAGCCTATGCTTTTCTACATGTTTGACTGTTTCTTATCTCCAGTAAATTTAAGTCGGTTGCGTTTTGCTGGGTTCCCGGCCATGTTGGTGTCAATTTAAATGAGCGTGCGGATGCTGCCGCTAAGGACGCTATCCGCACTTGTCCCATCTCCCATAAAGGTGTTCCTTATTCCGACTTTTACCCAGTTATTCATGCCTCCATCCTTGCCCGATGGCAGAGTTGTTGGTCTTCTGTTATTGGTAACAAACTGCGTACTCTTAGTCGTGTGTCCCAGTGGCCTTCCTCCTGCCACCATAACTGGCGGTGGGAAACGGCTCTGGCTAGGTTACGTATTGGCCATACCCATTTAACTCACGGTCACTTAATGGAGTGCCGCCCTGCTCCTTATTGTCCAAATTGCATTGTCCCTCTTACGGTCGTACATATCTTTGTTAAATGTCCTGACTTCCAGGACGAGCGTGTCTTGTTTTCCGACCGTCCCCCGCAGTCGCTTGTCCCTCGATAGAATTCTTGGCGACTCGGATACTTTTGATATCGTTCGCCTTATGCGTTTTTGTTCTCGTATTGGCATCCTTGGTGATATTTAGCGCCCTCTGATTATCCTGCACATGTGATGGTGCTACATAGCCTTCCCGGTTTGGTGCCTTCTATTGATAATTACTTACTTCTACATGTTTGAACATGGTGTGTGGCCAATTCATCTTGCTACAGCAGTGGCCAGGGTTCCCTTCCCTGGGGTTGGCTCGGGTTTCCCTTATAAACAACCAGAGGGTTGGTGGGGTCCCTTGCAAAGTACTCTTCTAGTCGCCTTCCATTTTGACAGTTTAGTATGCTCCCATGTCATTGCAGTGTGATGCTTTTGCATGCTCCATGCTCTGTTAGAGGTCAAGGTTCTGTCACCCCCATTACTAGTGTCCTTTGTTACAACATTCAACTTTTTCCCAGGACCTCTGGGAAAGGGCGAACCTTGAGATGTTGTACTGAATTACCATAATAGTTTAATCCTGCCTGCCAGTTGTTTGGGCTCTTGGTGGTGGTTCTTAAGACTAGCATCGTTCCTTATTGGTTGTCCTATCTTGCTATGCTTATTTGGTGCACTGCTCCAAGGGCACTGTTATAGTTCCTCCCTCTTCCTGTAGGGTTATGGGGTTTTGCATACTCTTTCCAAGCGAGAAGATGGCTGGCCAAGACCTTTGATTTCATCTGGTGGCAGTAAGGTTACTTACCTCATTTCTACAAGCAGTCATTTGTTGCTCCAATGGTGAAACTACTTAAGCTTGAAACCAATGAGGTTCCACTGGAAAAGGGGCTTTGTTACGTTCAGCTGATGCTATTTATACATGTGTTTATATTAGACAACTTGTATAGGGTTGACCATTATAGGTTTGCTTTCCATTCCATGCGTGTGTATGTATGTGTGTAGATTATTGAATACCTGTTGACAAAATGTGATGAAACTATTGCAGTAAACTTATGTACTTTAGATTTTCTCTTAAAATTTATATAAATTGTTAGTAGTTATTGTATAGGGGGTGTTTGTGCATAAAGATGCAATACAGTGTAATAATCAATTTGGTTCTCTTATAATTTTTGTCAAAGCTTGAATGGGAAGGTGTGCGTGCATTTTAGGGAGGAACTATAGTTTTGCAGATGGTGGGTGCCGAGAGCATTAGAATTGACCATATTTCTGTGATTTATCTGCCTTATTCGTGATCAGTTTTCAATCTTGAAAGCACGTAAATAATTTATATAAAAAAAAATATTGGCCACAGGTCACTAGTCTTCGAAAAGAGCTTTATATAATTGCTTGCCATCATGATTTAAAACTGAGCTTTTGCAATGTAAATCATGTACAGAAAGTTTCTCAATAAACTATTACATCTTTACTTATTTAAAGAAATTTTGTAGTACCTAACATTATTGGCAAATTTGTATTAAACTAATAATCATCAAAATGAAAATATGACCCCAACAGCCCAATTCTGATGTCTGCCTTCTGAACATTTTGAATGTTTGACTAAAATTTCTTCAGCACAAAGAATAAGAATATAATGAGTAATGTAAGTAGAATATGCATAGCCCTAATATTGGCTTTATTGCAGAAATTGTTTGCCATCACTAGTACCAACAAGTGTCACACACAGGAACCATGAGCACCACATCATGAATATCAGGGATGCTAAACTCATCAAATAGAACATGCTTGGATACAGTGTACAGAGCCTTCAGTCATTAAACAGTCTCCTAATCTCCAGAAAGACATATCTGGTTTGTAGGAAGTTAAACACTGAACAGCAAAAATCATTCCAGAACTAAGTAGACTGTCATACCAGGAACGGTTGAGGGCCAACATTGCAAATCAGACATAACAGGGCTGATCATTGAAACTTTAAATACTGAACAATTTGGACGATACTCATCCAAACTACTACTATAAAAAGTCAGATGTAACACAAACAAGGAGCAATTGTTTCAAGTTACCATACAGGACAGAAAACAGGAGATACTTTTTCACCCATATGGTTATAAAACCATGGAATGCCCTACCTGCCAAAACACTGCTGCAATTCAAAATCCAGCTCAATAAAATCAGCAGGATAAATGAAGGAACCTTTTGAGCCCACAGGAGAGAGTCACCCTCAGCTAAATTAAAGTGAACACTACACTAGAATCTAAGAAAGCAAGAAGGTATTTGCAATGTTTAGTTAAGTATTTCAGAAATATGTATTATATGTCAGGTCTCTGACCTTACCTTGTTGCTTGCCATTTTTTATCTTTCATAGGTACAAGATGCATTTGTCTGACTTGATGCTGTTACTGGCAAAACATTACCTACAAATAAAATAATTATCAAAATGGTGTCAGAGAAGGGTATTATAGCACTGTACCTACCAATAAAATTTACTTGTCTTGGCATTACTCCACAGAGTTGTAGAGGAACACAAAGGTATAAATAAATTTTACTAGAGAAACCTCCATAGCTGGGACGGGGGGCCCCGACCCCCAAATGGGAGGGGATGGAGCGAGTGTGCCAGAGGTGGGGGGGCTAGGAAGAAAGCAATGACTTCTTACCTGCCAAGGAGGACGAAGGAGAGGAGCCAGGCTTACAGTTCTGACTCAAAGAGAGGTGTTCCAGCAGCAACGTAATGGGCGACAGACTCGATTGTCTCAACAGAAGACGAATGGGAGTGAACAACATAAAGATTGCTGGGAGGATGGACATCAGCCTGGACAGACAGGTTGCCTGGGGGCAGGGATGTGAAGAAGGATCAGGGAAAGAAGACACAGGAGACATGGCAGACCGGGAACACTCCAGATGGAGAACCAGGAGGGGGCCCCTTCGGGACAGAACGTAAAGGAACAGGAGAGGAGGCGGTGGGCGTGTCCAGGTCTAAGGCCTGGAAATGGTTGCGAGACTGAGTAAGGTGGGGAGAGGAGAGGAGAGGTAGAATGCAACACATGAGCATAGGATACGTCAGCGAAAGGGGGCGAGATGGCAAACTTGGCGTCTTGCTTCAGGAAAAGATAAACGATCCTGGTGTTTCAAGTTGAGGATGACTTCCTCAAGTTTGTAGTGTATACACGAGCGGGAGAAGGTAGGGTGGGCCTCACCGTAGTTGAGGCAGCGAGCCTGGGGAGAAGAGCACTCGGACTTAGTGATCATCATCTCCACACATGGGGCATGGATACAAAATACTTGTGCATTTGAGGACATCATGCCTGAACTTTCAGCACTGTGTTGCAAAGTCTAGGAGAGGGAATGTACTCCTGAATGGAGCATCTGGCACCAGCAAGAATTATAGAGGGCGAAAGGGTCCTACTATCCAAGGTAATTTTCACAACTTGTAGGGGCTGATGGCGATGACCACGAGGTCGAGTGAACTTGTCCACATGGAGGACAGAATGGCCTTGGGTTTCAAGGATATGTTTAATATTCTCATGGCAATCATTTAGGTTCCTAACACCAGTTGCAACATGGTGTGGGAGGAGAACAGTGCCAACACTGGTATTTAACCGAGCGTTTTTGGAGACCTGAATAAGGGTTTCCCCCAATGCAGGACGATGCGGCTAAGCGGGTAGCTGCATCCTGAGGAGCAGCAGCGATGATACGTGTACCGAGACGAGTGGGGGTTAAAAGTAACAGGCAGCTACCGAATCAACAGGGTGTTTATGGAGGAAGAAATCATCAGGAGTAGAATCCAGGTGGTGGAGATCAAAGTATTTAACCCATGTAGCAGGACCCAACCCGTTCTCGCACTTTCTTATAGTCAATATTGACTTATTAAATACGTGCATATGTGACATACTAAATTATTGTGAATATTTTAGTTTACCTTGAAAAGCTTCATAGAAAACACAGACCTTACCTAACCTTCTTAGTATGTTAAGATAAGCATCTTATTGCTTCGTAATTACAATTATTACTTAACTTATAATTGGTTAAGTAATAATTGTAATTACGAAGCAATAAGATGCTTATCTTAACATACCAAGAAGGTTAGGTAAGGTCGGTGTTTTCTATGAAGCTTTTCAAGGTAAACTAAAATATTCACAATAAATTAGTATGTCACATATGCACTTATTAAATAAGTCAATATTGACTTAAAGAAAGTGCGAGAACGGGTTGCAGGACCAAACAAGGCATGGTACGTATTAGTACAGGATGGGATCGTGCGAGTGCAGCTGTGGCGGGTACAGCGTTGAGAACCCCCAGAGAGAGGGGTTAAAAGGCGAAGTAGTAACAATGAGAGACGGAGCCGTGCCAGGGGACGAGATGGTCACTACTGGGGACTTGGGACTCGACCCTACCACCTACTCCAGTCTGGGCCCAATGAAGCGGGGGCTATCGAGCCCAGTCTTCCATCACAGTCCGACTCGGGGGCCTGGGCGCCCACCCCATGAGGTTGGGTAAAAAAGGTCATGTCATTATCCATATATCATATATTTTAAAAGGTCTGGGGCCTGGAACCAAGGGATACCACCTACCAGGGAAGCCGAGCATGGGCCAGTGCAGGAAGGGGTGCTTCATTCCCAGTTGTGCTCCCCCTTTTTACAAGGAGAGTACTACTGCTTCATCCATTCTCCTATACTGGTGCAAAGACCTCATTCTCCCTTTCACCCCAGCCTGGACACCCAGCCAGCCACTCACAGGCGACCCAACAGGTGGTCCGTTGACTCACAAGACCCCTACGTTTGTGTTCGTTCTCACGTATTACTCCCAAAGAGGGAGAGAAAAGGGGGTGGAGGCAACCCTCACTGGTCCCAGAGAGGTGTACGTGAGCCCCCCTCACCACGATCAGGAAACACAATGGAGGGGGCTTTTAGGTGGTAGCGGACCCTATAAACACTGTGTGACTGATTGGACCCTATATCAATCTCGTTTGCAGTAGTGTACCCCATAGAAATTCCAATATACTGTACTATCGTTTTCTGTTAACATTCCTACAACCCATTCTCTTGATATTTTCAAAGCACACAATATTGTATATAATGTTGATTGGCAAAGCACCATTATTATATGTAATAATTAATAGTGCTTATTATAATTTACTGAGAACTACCAAGATTTCTCGAAACAAAACTACAAACCTTCAATAGGATATAGCTGATCCATGATATTCGAATAGCATTGAAAATACAGCGGTACTTCAGCTTACGAATTTAATCCGTTCCCAGAGGCGGCTCGTAAGCCAAATATTCATAAACTGGAGCGAATTTCCCCATAAGAAATAATGGAAATTGAATTAATCCGTTCCAGACTCCCTCAAAAAATTAACTTCAAAGTAAATTTTATACCCAATTCACCCAAATCTTCAGTATGTACAAGTTATTACTTACCTTTACTGATGACTCTTGTTGGCATATCGAGGAGGGGGAGGCAGAGAGGTGTTAGTGTTTGGAAGGCGAGTCCCCTTCCACTATAACATCAGGCAGTGATGACTTCTCTGGGGTACACTCTTTGTCATGCTTTGCCTGCATACCACTAGGACCTGCTTGTGGCTCACTGCTTGCTTGTCTCGCTAAGAATGTTTAAAAACACTTGTTTTTCACTACATTTTAACACTTGTCTGTAGTAAGACATCAGTCATTTAAAAGGTCAATACAACGGCCTGCTACAGCTTTATCTGGGCGAGTTTTTTCAACAAAACTAATGTACAATTATGTTACGTTGTTGGGTAGATTAGATACACAGTGTTTAGTGGGTTTACATACTTATTTAGTAGTCATGGCTACAGCAGTGTTGTAGACGTTGAGACAGAGCTTCGACACAGAGCAGACAGCAGACTACGACTGCATCGAGCTACAACGCTCTCCTTCCCCATCGAGTTTAGACACTCACGATTCCCCATCAAGCCACCACATTCTCCCGCATAGAGCTCCACGACTCCGGCCTCAGTCAGCTCTCTGCTTTGCTCCAAGCTCTGTCTCAATGTCTACGACACTGCTGTATCCAAGACTACTAAATAAATATGAAATCCACTTAACACCAAGTATCTAATCTACCCAACAATGTAACAATCGTACTTTACAAAATTTTGCAGTTCTTCCCATACTTCAGAAATTTTCATAATGAGGAAGTGACATCCTCCACTGCCTCTACTCAATTATTTTCTTAGGTTGAGCCTTACCACTGACTTTCTTGGGACCCATGGCAAGATATATAATAATTACTTTTATTTTCAAACACCCAAAAAAAACACTGAAATATTTTACAATGAATTTGGGCGTGATTGTCACTAGACGAGAGCCACTGGTAAACTGAGGCGCGATCGCCGTGCCACCACACGCTAGGTCGGTCATGTGTATCAACTCGTTTCCCAAGGCAAAGCTCATAACCCGATTCAAATTTTCAAAAGGCATTGGGCTCGTAACACGAAAAGTTCATAAATAGGGGCATTCATAAGCCAAGGTGTCACTGTAGTACATAAATTAAAGTGGGACTGGAAAAATAAAATTATCACTAATATTGGACCAATCACAACTATTCTGCTGTCTACGGCGATGGGCGAGTACTATGGGACATACCCCATACATGAGGAAGGGTTGGTGCCTTGAAAAAAAACAATAACTGGAAATCTACCACAGGTACTATGAATAATATTCATAGTAACTACTAGCATTTAGTCACACAGATGATATGTTATAACAAAAATGGGTTGCAGAATAATGGACATGGTAAACTGTTAATGACAAAATGACGACAAACAATACATTGCAATTCAATATTGTACTGGAATTATTTGTTATAATCTGCAAAGTACTCTGTTTTGGCTTATTGATGCGTTGTAGTGCATTATGTAAATTTTCAATACTGTACTGTATACCAAACCACCATAACTGTACTTTTCTTGATAATATAAATGGTGCAACAGTTGATTCATATACAGTACTGTATATAGAATACAGCAGTGTTTATTTTAAACCAGTGTCAGGATACAAGCCACTGTCAAATTGTATTTATTTTCCATCCTACAAAAGTGGAATGCACAATAATGATGTACAGTATACATGTAATGTATGCATATAAAAATGTCATCTTAAGTTTCCTTACTGCTTTGGTGAAATGAACAATAAAAGACTCAAGCTTGGAAGAAAACCAGAGCCGAGTTACCCATTGAAGCATTGTCATGGAAGAGGCAGAGATTGTCTATGATAGGTTCAGCTGTCTTCATTCACTAACATTCTTACTTTGCCAACATTCACTTTACTCCATTAGTTACTCATATTCACTTGGAACCATTGCTGTTACTCTCACACTAAACCATCATTATTACTCACATTCACTAAACCATGACCATTACTCACTCATTTAAACCATTACTGGACATGTCAAGCTTGTTTGAAAGGAATTATCTTCCTAATCATTTTCCCCAGATTTTATGCACTGGTCTTCCTTCTTGGTGCTCTTCACACACCACCTTGTGTACATCAGCTCCCTGAGCAAACCTAATTCTTTCCAGATTTGTTGTCTAGGTGGCAGCAAACAAACAAATTCACTTCTAACACAGCTGAACCACAAGAGAGATTGTTTTAAGATGCTACTGCAGAGCTCCGAACACTTGAAGACATAATGACTCATGTGTTTGGAGAAGACTTTGCATGTCATAACTCACATTTGGAGTAATGGATAAAAAGAGATGCCAACAATTCATCAAAGCATGATAAATGTTGAAGCAATATTGTGGGATAAAACTCGTGCCTCTGTCCTCCTTGGTAATGTACCTCTCTAGGGTAGCCAGAGACAAGAGTTCAGTCCCACCACATTGCTGTAAAAAGATTCCCCTGCAAACTATATCTGTGAAATTCATAATCCATATATTGCATAATTACACCTGTATGAATCACAAGTAGAATCATTATGTCAAAGCTTTGCCTCTGGTCACCTCATGTTTGCCATCCTAAATTAAAATTGTATTATTAGATTACTGTACTGTACTGTATAAACTTTTGATGCATGTTATTATTCCTCGATAGGTATTCAAACTACCTTAACGCTATCAAAAGAAACTAATTACTTACAGATTGTCAATAAAAAATCTGGTCTTTGGAGCATGGACTACACCAAATAATGGCATCAAGCAAGAGGTGTTTTGAAATAAAATGGATTAAATTCATTGAATCCAATAGCTATTTCTCCATTTTGTGGGTTGACTTTCACTGGATAAACCATTGCAGATAAATCCTGGCGTGTCTTTGGATGGTGACACTTGCCTGAAAAAACACAAAAATTTAACAAAAGTACTTAACAAAACTGATTACAATTTTAAACACTTATTATTTTAGGCACCACCATTCAAAGACTTAGTGCTCCCTGGACTGATATTGTCAAGTCCCATTGGATAGTTTGGAGTAATTAACAAAACAGCACTTGTTTAGTCAGTGAACCAGTGTGACAAGCAATGTTGAAAAACCCAGCCTACACCGACAATACTAACTGTACTGGAGATGACGGGTCACACTAATGTGGCTGAAGATATGACGACCAAAACACACCAGAAGATGCTGAAACGACAAAGTTTCAGTCCAGGATGGACAGAAACATTGTCATTTCAACATCTACTGATGTGTGGTTTGGTCAGCACTAACTATACTCTCACCTTTTATTTAGGTCTTAGGAAAAACAAAAATTAACAGTCTCATGTTTAGAATCTTGTCACTGATAATGAATCTTAAAATAATGTATTTCTTACCACAGTACTGTACCTATATTACCAACATATTAGAACACCTTAGGCTGAAATGTTATGAGTGATTAGCAGCCTTATAAAAAAATATATAATAATGTACAAGGTGTGTACAATATATGTATGCAATATATTATAACCAATGTATTTTATATATACAATTTTTAATTATTATTATTATTATTATTATTAGTCTATTTCAAAAACCATAATGACTACATCAGAGTACTGCAAAGCCAGTAAACACCCCAACACAGAAATATAAATACAGTATAGAAACAGACAGATTACATCAAAATACAGTAATCCCAATTCAATTACTGGTATGTTTGAAATACTGTACAAGCATCAAAGTGTGCTTGCTAATATATCTTTACATGTAAGTATGTAAAGGAATATTTAATCTATTTATATTCTGATACACTACAGAATGGTGAATAACATTTTCATGATGAATGACAACACAGGCAATTCACTTTACCTGTCACAAGGTTAAATTTCCATCCATGATATGGACACCTGACACACAGTGAGCGGTCAGGGAGTGCCTCTATATCTCCTATGTGAAGGGGTCCCCCTTCAAATAAACAAAAAAATTTAAATTTATTTACCCTTCTGATCCTTGGACAAGCCCTCAAATAAAAGCAAGGAAGTGTGTAACTCTTCGCTCACAGAAATAGGCATCAAATACCCCCTTATATGGTACATTAAAACAGCTCAAACACCATTATACACAGACTAGCATATATTTTATGGCAAATTTTCAGTCAGTCAGCATCCTACTCATAATCAAGTGGAATTTTTACATTTTTACACAAAAGATCAGAATAATATATTTAGCAGTGAATATCCAACATGTTTCAGTGCTTAGCTTAAACCTAAAACTCATAACCATATTCAAATATAATTTTGTACTTCTGTATTGTAAAAATGAAGCCCAAACATCAGTGATAAGGAGTAAAAACCATTACTTCTACAGATTCCTTGAAAGGTTCCAAGAAAGGAAGTTGCAAATGTGTTCAATATATAACAAAAATAGGGTGTAGTGAAACTTCTTTATGAGCCAATCATTGAATGCTTTTTACATCCTAGCCAATATTTTCTACTCTAGACTCTTAACACCAGCCAAACTCTCTAACCTTAATTCCTTTGGTGACAAGGATCTTTGTAAATTATTTTGTCAAGAAGAATAGGGAAGGGACACAATAGAGTCCAATTCAAACTGAGGAGCCAGCTGGAGACGACACAAAAGTAATACTCTCTACACACCCATTAAGCAACAATCAGAAATGAGGAATCCCACTTATCATTCTGATAAAACCATATCTCTGCTGCCACTCTGCCACCATAAGTGTAGGGATAAAGAGAAAAATCAAGGGAAAAGGCCAAGCCATTACGACTACAGTATATAGCACTTGGAAGAGATCAGGATAAGGATTTGGGAAAGGAATGGTGCCCAACCACTCGGACGATTGGAGATCGAATGCCGATCTGCATGAAACGAGACCATCACTACTCTCCAGCCCAAGTGGTTGGGTGTACCATAAGTGTAGACAAAGCCAGAATGGAAGCCCAGGCCTAGATAGGAGCATTTTAACACTTTCAATGTTAATGTTATGTTAATATGTTCCAACACCTTATTCCTGAGCTGAGGCCCCATGGATGCTCTCTGAGCCATCATGCCATTTATAACAAAACTGCAAAAGCTGCAGTAACAAGAAAAACAAACAAAAACAGGGCTCTTATCCAAACTGCAAACATGGGGAATAGGCAAGTCATGTGAATGGAAGAGGAACCAGAGCAGAGACCATACTTACTGAAGGACACTAGGCCCTCATGACTGATGAAGGGGGGGGGGGTAGCTGGAGTAGGGCCTTGAGTTTCTGGGTCTGCCATATGGTGGCAGGTGAATGTAACTACAGTAGATGTTGGGTTTGGACAGTGTGTGTCCAGGTACATAGTTTCTGTAAGGGCTGCCGATGTTTCAATACAGTTGCTTGTTTTGGGGCACTACTTTTCTGGTGGCTTTCCTTTTTGCTTGGGTTGATCTAGTATCCCTGGATTCCCTTGTCTCCGAGTGTGCCCAACTCTGGTTTTGGTCCCCGGTAGGCACTTGTGACTTAAAGGGGCCTGGTGGGGTACACAGGCTTGGAACTAACTAGGCTGATAACTAAGAGCTACTGAAGGAGCCCTTCCAGAAGGATAAATTAAAAACCAACAGGAAAGCAGAAAATTGAAAATAACATCCAAAGATCAAAAGGGCTCCAAAAGAGTTTGGGAGGGATGAAAGTAAAAGAAATGCCATCCCAATTTAAGGGAAAGGAACCGAGGAGAGATCCAACTAAAATTCAAATAAGAGCTTTGAAGGAGCACTCCAATAACTTACAGTGTTGGGTTTGAGCAGGTGCCCAAGGAACATCCATATTAAAATGAATATGAGCACCGCCACAAACAGGGATGGAATTATATATGGAACTGGTGAAGCACAAGCAAATGCTGAAGTGCCTCTTGGGCAATTCATACTGATGATGAAAGGAGGGATGCTATTTGCCTCCTATGCAGAGATACATAACCACTAAAAACTTGACATGCAGAGTTTGGCTAAGAGCCTTGAAAACTTGAAGGGGTCAGAAGTGGTCAAGTCTAGGGACGAAGGCAAGGCCAGTCACATCGGAGCCAGAATAATGTGGTACACAAAAGTCCATACCTTCAACAGAATGGACAGCAGCATCCAGTCTGGAGAAAACAAAGCATCTCCCACTGACCCCAACAGAGATAAAGCACATTCAAGACAAATACCCCTGGATTGGGAAATGGAGCTACATACACTCCAGGAAGTTTAAAATTCCAGGTGGAGGTAAAAAGATAGATCCACCTGAGGAAGGTCTAACATATCACATTTAAAGAAAGAAGGCCACAGCCACCTCCCATTACATCTCAATTGAACAAAAGAAAGGTCATCTACAGGCACATACAAAATTTCTTGAATATGAAATGCATCAAGTATTAAATAAGAAGTCAGAAGTGAGGTGATAGATCGGTATCAGCAGAAGAAGCAGGGAACAGATATTGTGAACCCAAAGGAACCAAGTAAATGACCTAAAGTAGGGAATGAGATGCCTCTGTACCTCAGAATGACACACAGGTACTGCACAGTATTTAGAATCAAGTATTGTACAGTACTCAACATTCCCCTCAAAATAATAGGGAAGGGAGGCAGTAAAAGACCCTAGACAGACGAGACCAAAGACTGCATGCACCTAAACCACACACTGCCTGAAAGTGCCTGGTAATACTGTAATAGAGAGAAGTAATACTGTAATGAGAAGCAAGATCAGGAAGATCAATATCCACACAACCCTTATCTCATACAACTGAAAAAGACCCTCCACCTAACAAGTCCCAGTACTAAAGTAGGATTCGTTCTCAACTCACATTCGGGAATTCAGAATCGTGTCCAAGAAGAGACACAAATGGTTGGGCATGTTTCCTATCACCTAATCTTCCTGTTCACCTAGCAGTAAATAGATACCCAGGAGTTAGCCAGCTTCTTGTTGGGTTGCATCCTGGGGAGGGTCAGTACTTTGATATTAGGGCACCTCAATATAAGCCTAACATGTACATATACACTGGCTGCTGCTCCAACAAAATTAATTATTATTATTATTATTACTATTAAGTGCTAGTTGGATGAAACCATGTCACACCCAGTTGGTGTTTAGGGTATTGATCACTTTTTTGTAGTGTATTACAGGAAGCTGATGCATTGGCGGCTTGAGTTACTCACCATTCTTTCCTTTATTTTCCTTGACAAAGCAATTTACAGACTTGTCAGGATGCAAAGCAATAATAACAAAAGCCTAGCAGGGGGGGGTACGGGATTCAGAGTAGGTAATAATAATAGCTCTACTGCAGGAAGGCTTCGAGGGGCTTCAGCTCAGACAGTAAAGATCATATAATAGATTGAATATGATACTGTACACTCAGAGTGAAGACCTATTTTGAGTTTGTTAATATTGAATGATATATTGTGTGATATAAATAAGTTATTGCACAGAAAGCTGATCTATTAACAAAAGTGAATGGAACAGTTAGGGCCTGTGCCAGCAGATAATGCTATATTTCATTTTCCATTTTTTGCCTAAGGAAATTATTTCTTGACAAGTACAAACCTGAATGAGGACAATGCTCAGATATGGCATAAACGATGTCACCAAGGCGGAAAAGTGCTACTTCTTGCTCATTTACCTTCACCAGGCAGCCAGTTCTACAAGGAAATACAAATATATATACAGTATATATTATACACATATACAAATACCTTTTTGCTTAAATACTGAACTGGACCATGCTTCAACATTTATTTAAGGGACACCCATTTACAAACCATTTATTTTTTAAAAAGACAAATCAACTACAGCTATCCTTTAATTTTTAGTACCATACAAAGTAAAAGCTATTTTTTTTGCTTCAATCAATGGTTCCAATGCTAACTTACTAAACAAAAAGTGTGATAAATGTTTCCAAATACAATAACAGTACAGTATTGTATCAATTGAATTCTTTATTTTCTGTCCCTTTAATGTCCTACCTTTTCACATCACTGTATACACCAAAATTATAAGTTAAAGGTAGTCTCCACCTTATGAATGGCATACAGTATGTTCCAAGAAGGCATTTATAAGTCAGCCATTTGTGACTTGGAATCAGATCTTCCATAGGTGTAATGCTATACATGGCAACGACTTGATAATGGTCCAGGACGGACTGAAACATCGTCGTTTACACATCTTCTGTTGTGTGGTTTGGTCATCATATCTTCAACCACGTTATTATGACTCATCATCTACCTATACT